GGTGTGTCTTACTACCTGGCACTTTTGGCAAGCTAAGCACGCGTGTGCCCGTTCCCCGAATAGTTTTCGACTTGAGAATAATTCCGACACCTGGATGGGATAAGCCATGGAAGACGTTATGGACGTAACTTCTAGGCACAATGTGGCAGTGAGTACTCATGGAAATGTCCCATACCTAAGGGTTTCTAGGCCGATTACGGAGTTGCTTCCAATAACTTCTGTTGAAGCTCAGTATCTTTTTTTGAATAAGTGGCAGTTTTACAAGGTCAACACCGTCTGCTGGCGAACATGCTGTAAATGACTATTCATGATCTGAAATGAAGAAGCAACTGGTTTTCAAACAGTTTTCAACATTTTTCTGAACTTACGAATGCAGTCCGCCATGCAGACACAAATGGAGCAAATGGAGAATTCTGGAATCGACCTCAGCACCATTTGATGCAGTAAAACAACTACACATGACCTCATCTAGTTTTCGCATCCCCGTTCAAATTTCTTTCCGGCTATAAAACTACGATAAGACTACCGAAAAAAATAGAATAAATATATCACTGATCTCAACATAATACATCAACAAACTTTGATCCGAGGGTGCTGTTCACAACAAAGTTATGTAAGAGGATTGACTTCAAGCTTTTTTTCCCAGATATTTGTATTACATTCATCTGATGTCTGGGTTTTTTTTAATGCGAAGACAATATTTCTATATCTCTTTATGTGCTACACAAGCAGACTTTATAGCAGACTGTTCCGTCTGACTCTAATGTCAGAAAGAACAACCAAACTGTAAATTCATCATACATAAATTTGTGTAATTTATATAATAACTTATCCATGCCTGTACAATTGGTATGTTCCTGCATAAACAGGAAGAAATATATTAATAATAATAATGTTTGAGTGAGGGAACAAATGCGCGACAAGGCATCTACCTCAGTGTTGTTTACTCTGGATATATGGCGAATATCTTATGTAAACTGTGAAACATAGTCCAGTTGTCGTGATTCTCTAGGTGAATACTTATCTGAGGTCGAGTTCAGAGGAAATTGTAAATTCACGACCCTCCACTGAGTGTCGAGAGTGACTTATAACACAGTAAGTAGCAGGAATTTCACCGCTGAATGAGCCGTAATTTGTGCCGCGAAAAATGGCGAGTGGTTGCCATTCTCTCTTGACCAGTTGTTGCAGAACTGCGCCGACTGCAATGTTTGATGCATCAACCGAGATACTTAACGGTGCCGATGGACTTTGATACGTAATAAGTGTGGCATCTGCGATGGCTTTCTCAACCTGAATGAAAGCATTTTTAGCGGACACGTCGAGTTCGATTGACTTGTTACATCTTCGAAGGTTTGTTAGTGGCTGAATCAGGGAAGCACAGTTAGGAATGACGCATCGGTAATAACTTAACAAGTGCAGACTCTTCACTGTTAGTGACTCCAGAAAATTCGGTATCGCCTCAGCTTTACTGACCTGTGGGTGAATACGCTTGCTGTCAATGGTGTGGCCCAGAAAGTCGAGTGATTCAACGCCTGTCTGACACTTTTGAATATTAATGTTACCTCAATATCGGCGTAACTTTTCAAGTGCCAAGTGTCTGGAGTGAGTACCCTTGTCTGAACTGACAGTGAGACAGTCGTCTGAGTATGCGTGTACAGAGCCAAGACCATGAAATGCTTCGTCAGTAAAGCGTTGGAACTTTTGTGCTGCATTCCGGAGACCGAATGGCATACAAAGAAATTCAAAATGTCTGGAAAGCCTAATGGTAGCCATTTTCGGAATGTTACCTGTTACCGTCAGAATTCGGTTGTAGGCTTTAAGCTAGTCCATTTTCGAGAAAACAGTTGCATCAGATAGTGTTTTCGTCAAGTCATGTGTGTGAGGCGATGGATAGAAATCAAGGGTTGTTTCGGCATTCACTCGCCGGTAATTACTATTTTTTCGGCATCCTATAAAATGCAGGTGCCCTTGGGCAATTAGATGGCCGAATGGCATCAAAGGTTAGCATATAACAGAATTCATTCCTATTCAGTCGTAGTTTGTTACGGAAAAGTCGTCGTTTTTTAGGTGTCAGGAGTTATCCTGATTTTGTGATGTGATGCATATTGCTGGTTATACATGGTAGACCGTTAAACAGGCAGTTTAGTTCCAAGTACTTGTCAACAGTCGGCAGAAAATTTGGATCAAGGATCGCTTTCTTCTTAACCACTGACAAGGTGTGACATACGCAGGTGATATCTTCAGTCGTTTTCGTCGGACATGAGTAGACCGTGGTGGTTAAATATCTCTGCGCCGATAAAAGGCGTTGTGACGTCAGAGAGAAGGAAAATTCACCAAACAGGTTTACGTAAATCCGCACCGATTCTAAGTTCACTTAAGACCAAGTGGATTATTTTTCATTGAATTTTACGGCGCACATTATTTTTTTGATATAGACAATAGTGAAGTATTCCTTTTGCTATAAACATACTGAGTACGCACTGACAATACGTAACTAGAATTTTCTGTAAGAATTAAAAGAAAATACACCTGGAAAAGCTGACTAAGCGACAATAACACATGGCTAATCCACTTACTGAAGACAACTATACGGCGACTGTAGGGTTACATAAAATGATAATGAACTGCAAAGACTTTGTGTGAAGTCTTCTTTTAAAGCCACAGAACAAGCATGTGTTAAAATTAAGCATACATATTAATAGATGGGCAAACCAAAATGACTTCATCTCAATCCTGCTCAACGAAGTGGACGCGCAGCCTACTGGACACAAAAGTAAGAAGAGGAGCAGACGTTGGCTCAGACCACTATCTCATACAAGGGACAATCCAAATAAAATTAAAAGCTTTCAGGGAAACAGGAGCTGCAGATAGACCACAAGCCAAGTTCAACACTCAAAAGCTAAAGGACCAGGCTACAAAGGACATCTTCATTGCAAACATAAGGGAAAAAGCCGAGACACAAATCAACACCAGCGAAAAGGTCAGTGTCGAAAAGCACTGGGACAACTTGAAAACGGTGTGGAGTCAAACCTGCATGGAAGTTCTAGGCAGAAAGAAGAGACAGGACAAACAGTGGCTCACTACGGACACTTGGAAACTAATAGAAGAGAGAAGGATGGTGAAACAAAATATCTTCCAGTGCATCGACGAGCAACAAAAGCAGGAGTTGAATGCAAGCTACAACACGCTGAACAAAAGAGTGAGGAAGAGTGGCAGGGGAGAAAAAAGAAAATATTATGAAGCCATAGGAAGTGAAACAGAACAAGCTGCAGGCAAAGGAGACCTCGCCACACTCTACCAAACAACTAGGCACCTATCGGGAAAAAGTTCGACACAGATTAAGACAATGGAAAGTCAATCACTGGACTGAACACTTCAAAAGACTTCTAAATCGACCGCCACCTACAACGGAAGCAGAACTACCAGTGAACATTGACCCCCCGACGAAACCAGAAGTCTTGAATGCAATCAAGATGCTAAAGGCTGGGAAAGCAGCAGGACCAGATGGAATCCCAGAAGAAGCATTGAAAATGGACCCAGAGACAACAGCGGACTTGATGACGCCATTGCTGGAGGTGTGGAAAGAGGGCAAGGTACCTGAGGATTGGAAGAAAGGATACTTATTCAAACTACCGAGGGAAGGAGACTTAAGTCAATGCAAAAACTGGCGCGGAATTATGCTCCTGTCTATCCCAAGCAAAATAATAAGCCGCATCATCCTGGAGAGAACCAAACAAGCCCTAGATGAAAAACTCCGACAGGAATAAGCTGGATTCAGGAGAAACAAGTCATGTATTAATCAAATCGCCACTTTACGGATCATCATTGAACAAAGCTTGAAATGGTAGTCACCTCTCTATCTCAACTTCATCGACTTTGAAAAGGCCTTTGACAGCGTCGATCGAGAGGTCATTTGGCAACTACTGGGTGCCATCGACAATTATTTATCTCACCCAACAGTTATATGACAATGCTGCATGCCAAGTAATCCACAACGGGAAACTTACGGAATCCTTCGAAGTGAGGCAAGGCTGTCTACTATCGCCAATGATTTGCCTGATTGCAGTAGATTGGATAATGCGACAGACAGCGGACAATGAGGAAACAGGCATAAAATGAACTCACACAAAAAGCTTGGAAAAATCTGGACTTCGCCGATGATATATGTCTGATTTCCTATAGACCGGAAGACATGCAAGTGAAAAGCAACAAGCTGGCAGAACCAGCATCCAGAGAAGATAGGACTTCAAGTGAACATAGAGAAAACAGATGTGATGAAGATTCCTGGCCAACACCAACAGCAGACAACAATCAGCCAGTATAAATGGGAGGAACCTGGAAGAAACAACCCCATTTACCTACCTGGGAAGCATCGTCTCAACTACAGGCGGAACTGACGAGGATATCAAAGCCAGAATCGGGAAAGCAATACAAGCTTTCATTACTCTTAAGTCTGTGTGGAGGTCAACAGCACTCAGCATCAAAAATAAGATCCAGATGTGAAGTCCAATGTGAAGTCAGTGCTACTCTACGGATGAATCAGAGACTTGCATTGCGCGTCATTAAGAGAATCTCAAACAAAGTTCAGACCTTCATTACCAGTTGTCTTCGCTCAATACCACTCAAGATCAGATGGCCGGTCAGAAAAGATCAGCAACAGGGATCTCTGGCAATGAGCGAACTAACCAGGAACCCATTTTGAAACAAATAGGCAGGAAGAAATGGAGATGGATTGGCTGGCCATACACTGAGGAAACCATCAAGTGACATCACTGGACAAGCCGTTGCTCGAGTGGAGCCCGAAAGGGAAGCGGCGAGTTGGTCGTCAGTGCAAGGGTGACTTGGAGGAGGTCATGTGAAGGGGAGATGAAAGCATGTGGGCAGACTAGGAGCGGGGTGAAAAAGTTGGCAGAAAACAGAAGGCAATGGAGGTGCGCAGCTGAAGCCCTATGTTCCTCTAGGAAATAAAGGATATAATAATAATGATAATTAATAGAGTATTTTCATATTAAAGACATATCTTTTTTAGAGATTTCTACCTAAATTTATGCATAGCGAAAAGACATTCTGACAATGACATCATGTTTAACCCGTGAACGTTGTTATGAAAAACAATCTCAGTCTAGAATAGATTTAATCAGAGCCAAAACAAAATGCGTAAAAATGAGATCAACATCATAAATGAAGTACAAAACATGAGATTGAAACAATTGGAAGCAGTGAATAGTTTATTTAGATGACAATTTAAAAAGAGAATGAAAGTGAATGAAAAATATAACGGATTAAGAAATATGTTGATACAGATATTAGATCTAGCTTTTGCATCATAATGATAGGTTAATAGATGAATTAATTGGCCGGTGAATTATATTTCTTGGTAGCCAACTTGGCGCCGTCGACTGCCAATGATAAAGGCAATTAGTGCAACAACTATCATAATCACCAATAAAACTCCAACAACTATTGGGATCACTTTAGTGGGTACATAGTCGGCAGAACAAGAATAATCTATAAAGAACAAAACAAAGTAAAGTAACAGTGACAGAGATTACAGAAATGCTAGTCAGTAGAAATAATCTTCAAACAGAAATCATGAAATACCATCTCCATAAAACAACCAATTCAGTAAATCTTTTTATTCGAGATTCACAGTGAGATTACTAGTGTGGCATGAGTGGTAGAAATTTTCTAACTAATTTTTTTGACTGTTTCAGTGAAACAATTGTGGGAAGCTATGAAAACCAATTGCATAAAAGCACTGATTATTTTTATCACTTACAGCGAGAAGACAAATAGTTCGACACTTTTTCTCTAACTTTTTCCTGACTTTGCTGTTGAATGACACCATCTCTCTTTATTGTGTTTATTGCCTAATAGTCATTAAAACTGTAATTAAACAAGTATTTTCTTTTCGTCTAATGATACTGAAAAAGTGCACTGGTAACTATAGTATTTCCAGAAATAAATCGGAATATAGACAAGATTTTCGATGTAGTTGCAGCAATGTTCACAAGCAGAAGGACAATCAAAAAATGAGTATTAAAGCGAAGGAGAGCAAGAAAATGAATGGTGGCTGGAACACATTTTAAGAATTTCAGGCACAGCTTGTTAGCTCTGCTAGTTAAGGGTCTGGTGTGTGTGTGGGGGGGGGATGGGAGTAGTAACGTTCCTTAAAGGCATATTGTAGAATGAAGGTTAGTTGTGCCGTATTTCTACCTTTTAATTTGTGTGCATCGTTTGATGGCTGCGCAGGAGACCGTGCAACTAAGTAGTTAAAAATACCATTTTTTTAATGTCTACTATAGAAAAAAGTGGTGATCATGTAGCAAATTTCTTCAGAAATATCAAATTAGAATCTCTTTCCAATCCCCCCCTCGAGGTTATTCTTAACTTCTACATTTATGCAGTGTTCTTTTACTATTCCGTCTAGCGAATTCCTCGAAAGTTATGCGGTAACGCATCCATCTGGCGAATATATAAACGAATAAGTTCGAAAAGAAATCAACAAACAAACAAGGCATATCCAATTGGTTAACGACAGAATCGAGACAACTAAATTTTCATGTTCCTGTGAGCTAAATTCTTACCAATTATTCTTTTACATAATAACGAAAGCTGATAAAAAGCATTACTCTGAGTAGAATGATACTGACAATTGATACTCTTAGCATAATTTACGATGAAAACGTTTAGTTATGTTACGTAATACATTTATAAACACATGTAGTAAATATGATATAAGGTGAATGGTGTAGACACTTTGAAAGCATTATTTACATATATACTAGTATGCGTTGATAATTGTGAGTCTGTCTCTAAAAAGAATGACAGCCAGTGGAGAAAATAGATAGTGTGAGGGGAACTTAGACTACAAAGATAACTCTACTCGAAAATAAATAATCTGTATCACAAGCTACTATGCGAAGTGGAAGTATGTTAACGCAAACTCAGTAATTCGTCTAAATAATAAGTCCATGAAGAAGTAATTTAGTCAGATGTACGGTAATTTATTTGTTCTTGTTGTTGTCCTGTATATTGATTTGTTTATCCGTGCGCTATTGTGAATTAAATACGCGATAATAAAACGTAATATTTATGTTTGTGCTATTTACTAGGATACTTTATGGAGTTTATCACTGTGGGCACTGACTGTCTGCCTTTGTACACATCAAGCAACCTATTGTTTTACATACAAACATGTCTCTGAGTCTGAAACCTTTGCTTAAATTGGGTCTCAGAAGTGTCTAAATACAAAAGCAACGTCTATAGCTGAAAACATACGGTAGTGTAGTTTTCAGTATTCAAATTCACAGAAAAAAGGTTCTTATAAGTTAATTCTGAAATGACAGATTTCGTGAAATAATGCTAATTGGAGGTGAAAACAGAAATACTTACGCGGTCCTGTGAACTCAGGAGAAGAACCATTATTTCTGAATGCTTCAACCTGGAGGTCAGTAACTGTTAATCGTATATTAGTCGAATTCGACAATTTATTCTTTAGCTCATATGTTTGTTCACTGATACACATAAAAGACGATCCCATAGCACAGGAAAATATTAATTTGTCACTGGAAGCCTTTGATGCATCTACAAAAAAGTAAATAGTCAACAAAACAAACGACATAAACCAAATAACTGTTCATCGCATAATCAAAAATGTAAACGTTTATATATATATATATATATGAAGAGCATATACGTGTTCATATTGGTGGCAAAACCATGAAGTTCCGTTTATCAAAGTATATTTAAGCAAATTGCTTTCAACCTGAAAATACATAATGCTACGTATTTCTATGTCTGCAAAGCTATATACTGTATTTTATATGTACAGTTTTATTATACTATTCACTTAAAGTAGATGGAGTGGAGTCCCGACCTGTAACTCAATAATTGGAAATAAATGCTCAAAGCAATCTCCAACACCACTATAAATAATAATACCTTTTTTAAGAGGGTGGCCTATTTAACTGATACCATCTGCACTATTCGCTTTGTTTATAACATCTAAAAAGTGATAAATGCGAGGTTTACAATTGCAATGAATCGAAAATCTGTACACCTCCAGTTCAATGACTTTTACAGTAAGTATATCCTATGAGTTCAAAATCTACGCTGCCTACAGAGATTTCTAGAGTGGAGTAATATAATCAGCTCTCGAACAATAGATCTAGTGCTCAGTCAATGAACAACCACATCGCTATCACCTTAGAGATATAAAAAGATACCTTTCCAAATTCATTCCAACTTGCTTTCTGATTAAAGTATTAGAAAACAGTAAGTGAATAAAAATAATAAGAATAACGACAAAACAATAATGATAGCAAGAATAGAAACAGACGTCTGTTAACTTTTGTAAAGTATAGGTTTCCAGACCGTAGGTGTTACGAACTTTCTGGAATAATTTGGGCACTGAGTCAGATTGATTCATTATCTTGTTTTGATTTTCTTAACACGCTGGGATTAATTTAAATAATATACAATGTTGTAAAGTATGTTAGCAACTTTATACCTAGCACTTTTTCTATACATAAAATGCATGTCGAATAAGATATCACTAAGTGTAGTCTTTAAAGATTTTTTTGGCCTACATGAGGAGAAGCATTGTGAAAAGGATGCTCAGAGACGGGTAAAATGACTTGAGCTAAATTCTTGCATAAGCCCGAATGTGTGTCAACAACATCAATGGGTAGGCTTAGAGGCAAATCAACTATCTTACTACAGGCCTCAAAATTCTTCCTAACATAATATAATATAAGCAAATCAGGAGAAAAATAAACACTGAGCAATAAAGATCCAATTGTTAGCTAGATATAAATGTATAGAGGGTATTATTTTGAGGAAAATATTTTAGTAAGAAACACCATTTAGTTAGTGAGTTCATTACTCGGAAAAAATCTAATGGTAGGAACATAAACTGGAAGTACTACCCACTGACTTCCTACCTTTAAACTAATGATTTCTAGGTTCAAGCATAGTTCCGCCTACTTCGGACTCGGAAACCATGTGGTACCATAAGCCTTTATGAAATGAACATGGCTCACGGTATTGGAGGTAAACATGTATTAGCACAATGAGCTATTTTCTGTGGAAAGGTAGGACACACACCCATTTCAGGCTCATCAAGTAAAGTGTCGGTATTGTACTAAGTTGGTGCTTTTAATGTGATAGTCATCACTTCACAATAGCGGTATTATAGTCTATCTAGAAAATAGTTAGTTCGGTAACAAAAAAATCAACAATATAGAATTGTAAACCTAGATAAAAAGAAGCAATATTAGGCACACAATTATTGTAACTATATTTTACAAAGAGTATACCCTTATAAAAATCTATGACATCGATCACTGTACACATGAAATTCCACAGTATAAAATCAATATCACCACACTATTTTGCTTTACACATAAACATATGAGCAGAAATATACAGAAGGGTGGAAAGGATTGCATTTTGTAGGGGGACATGAACAAGGACTAATATTATGAATAATCACATAGTGATAACGATTGTTATGCATTTGCACATAAAGTGAGACATGACATTTTATATCATTTTTTAAAAGTCATTAAGGTTAGTGTTAATGCAATTATGGTAACTGACAATGCCAAAATAATACCTCAACACCATCGGAAAACATTTTCAGCAATCAATTCAATAGACAAGAATGTGAAATAATAATCGAAGATATGAAACAGTCTAATTATATATCTCTGCATTGACAATTAATAAAATGAACGATTGTGCACATAATCACGCACAAAACTGTACATTCAGATTTATAAACACGTGAATTTGTAATGTGTGTAGTAATTTATTCATAACATCATTTTTCCAGTGAATTCGGTAAACAACCACAATGTTTTCATAGTATAATAGTTACACGCACAAGTCATCATAACATGTACACCATACTCTACAAAAATATATTGAACAGGCAGACAAAACATCGTAAAACTCAGCACACTTACACAGTAAGTGTTAAATTGACATGAAGAACACAAAACACTAACGACAGATATTTTGTATTCATAATGATTGTTGTATTGTAGAGTTTCACATGTGTTACAGAACTGAATCATCTCATGACTTTCATTAGTGTATAATAATTATATCTGTTACGAGACATTGCGGTCATCAGTTTCCATTATCTGATCCATAAATGAATTGTTCTGTATCACACTCTTACAACAAATCACATCAGACGAGTCATTGGTTAGGTGGCTACACTTATATTTCCAAAACTCGGAGAAAAATCCATGAATCTGATAGCTAATTAGTCAGAGATTGATAATTATCACAAAAATAACACAGCCCTAAACAGCTATTTCAGCTTATTTTAGGAATCGCCTAAGCACTGAGCTCTTACTACTCGATCAGGTTGAACTAAAGGTTATGTATGCCAAGACGTTGATTTTATCAGTAAGGAACTTTAGCTGACATTGGCTTGGCAAAACATCTCATCAATTCAGGAAGTCTGCCACCGTTCCTTTAAGCCAGATAGGGAGGTGTACACTGGCTGAATGGCGCCATTGACCCTGAGAAGCAATGATTGGAGAATTGTCCTAACGTGGTTGAAAATCGTTGTTAGCGGTGCAGATCCCTTCACTCTTCGTGATGTCTCGAATCCATTGAGTCCCGATTATTCTTCATGTAATTATTCAGTCTCCAATACATTTCTGCTTATTATGGTTCTTCCGAATTTCCTCCAGTTTTTCTACCTTTGTGTGCTATATGGAGCATGGCAACTTGCTCTGCTGCACCTGTGTACAAAGTTCTCCGTTAAAACTCAGTCAGTCGATGAACTTGAAGAAAAACGAAAAATCCAAAGAAGATATTTCTTCGCTGATTTCAGTTTAATAGTTATGCAACTGAATTTCATGAACATTTGTCGTTCTTGCACAGCCGGAATTATCATTTAACTGGACATTGTGACAAAGGTGAGATTTAGAGAAATTAACCTTTCAACATAAAAAATTTTGTAATTAGTGATCGGGAACGAATATTAGCGAGAAAAGACTAGGAAGCTGAGCAAAGGTATTTTTCGGAGATTTCATCCCAAAAGCTGTCGACATAGAACTTTGCACATATGTGCGCCACTTCAAGTCGCCACACTCCCTCTTTGTAGCACACAAAGCAAGAGAAGAAGGTAGAAGAAATGCATAATAGAGGCAGTAATCAGAGGTGTGAGACAAAGGAGGAGTAATAACGAAGAACAAAACAGTTTCATTAGAGATCATAAGTCACAAGGAGTGGATGCATCTGCGCTATGCATTCAGAACGATTTGGAGCCATGTCACCAATTGTTTCCAACCATAGACTTTTACCGTCCCGAGGACCCCAACCAGTCAGGAAGTCTACACCTTCCTACGTGGCTGGCTTAAACTAACTGTTGTAGATTTCATTGACTGGTGCCATGTTTTTGTTTGACCTCCGCTAGCATTTTTTTTTCAGCCTAACCCTATATCAGCTAACATTGCTCGTCGAGGAGGGCGATGACTAGGCATGCATACGTAACACATGTCCTAACCATCTCAATCTGTGTAACTTCACAGCTTCGTCGATTGATTTCCTCTGTTCACCTAGAACTCGACCGACGCCTAATCTCAATATTGCTCACATTATTTTACCACTTCACACGGGAGATAGAACGCAGGCACCTATGATCAAAGACAGCTAATCTTTTCATGTCTTCCACTCTCAGTGGCCAGGTCTCACAGCCGGCCATAAAGGAGGACGGAGCGGACTGATGAGCAGTACACCCGCCCTTTGGTCGATAGTCAGATATCTCGTCTACGCCAGAGACGGCGTAAACTGGGATATGCGAAACTAGCCCTCTGTACCCGTGTTGAGATTTCATCAGAGATCAACCCGTTGGGGCTGATGGTACTACCCAAATAAGTGAGGTGGTCAACGTGCTCTACCGCTTCACTTCCTATTTCTAATCTAGGAGTAGGTGTATAGTCCAGTCCTGTGCAATCGCATTTATATACATACATAAGTTTACATAGATACAAGTAGTCGAAAAGATACATGCATATTATTAAAAAGGGTACATAGAAGTCAAAAAATTAAACGGAATGAGGAATATGGTTGTGTTACATGTAAAACAGTTTCACCAAGAAAATTGTGATCAAGATTTGCTTAAAACAGATTTAGATAGTACTTCATAGCTTCAGGTGAATAAATGATTGCGATTACTAAAAAACCACACGAAAAGAAAGCACACTAAACTAGATTCAAGGTAGATGCAGGGATTAAACGAGTTACTTTGGAACACATAACTCTGACACCTCCGTGGATGTTGCAAGAGAGTGAAAAAACAATATGATTGAATCGCCATGAGCTTTCCCACTAACCCCCCCCCCATTAGCAGTTCGCTTTATATCTAGCCTGAAACCAATGGTCAACAAATCACTTCTACATAAAAGGTAAATCGATACTTTTGTAACTGGTCACGATGATTCTGATTTAAACTGTTTTACTAGCATTTAATAATTGTTATCCTTCAGTTCAATCCACATTCAGTGTGAAAAAATTGATCAAAGATCCTGTTGCTGAATGCAGAGTTAAATAGTAAATGATACAACTCTGAAAAGCTTGATAGAATGACTAACTAACAAAATTCTACAGCTGGGTACTTCCGAACAGGAAAAACTCGTTACTATTTCTTTCCCTTACCGCATTAAACGAAACTGAAGCACTAACTGGTTAGAAGAACAGCTATCGCTTCTTAAAACGGGCTTGATTGAAAATGCATAATCAAGTAGGTTTGTGATGAAGAATACTAAATCAAAACCATAAAGAAAAGAATAGCATTCACTTTCACAGAAAATAGTAAACACGGACTTAGACTCTAGGAGAGCCTAAGTGATAGATGTCGTTAAAAAAATCTCTAGCTCCCTAATGCAGGCCTTTGGAGAGACTCGATAAGTGATATTCACTAGTCCTTGACTGCTGTCCAGCACTTTTCAGGACAAGCTTTTGGATCCGATAGTGGGAATCTGTAAGTATTAATTAAACCATTCATTTTTTACATTGTTCGTTAAATTTGCCGAATGAAGGATAAACTCCAGCATAACAGTTCAGCTGCTCCCGTGAGGCCGGTATATAAGTTGTTTCATGCATGCCTTTTCTCCTAAGCTGATAGCGAGAATCTGAAGGATGGTTACAACTAATACGGCTTCCTAAGCTGGGTCAGAATGAGAACACCACTGATGAACCTGAACGAGTGGGGTGGTCATCCGGTTTTTAGATCACTTACATCTAATATAAGTATGAAACTTGGGAACTGTGGTAGAGTATAACTCCATTATGGATAAGATTTTATTTTGATAAATCACAGTGTTATACAGTAAGATTAACTGATGACGTTTCGAGCACAAACTACTGCTCGTAATCATATCACGTTACATCTAACTGATAGATACTACTGACTGATTTGGATAGTATTGAACTACCCACAAAAGTCAATCAGTAATATATAAAACCATCAGTTTAAGTATATTTTGCTTTATAAGTGTATGAGCATATGTGAAGTCGTATCTCACAAATATTACATGATTACGTGTGATCAAAATAGGGTGGGATAGGGTAAAAGTAACGTAATATAAAAGCAACATATTTGAGTGGAGAGAGGTCAATCACAGAATCTTTATTCATCAAATTAACACTAAACACGTGTAGTCAAAATGATGAAACACCTATACCAGAGATATGGAAAATAGTGATAGAAAAACAGGAGGAAGTATGGTTATAAAAAGCATATCAGGAAGCTGCGTAGTTGAATTGATAGTGATTATGAGTAATAAGCTGGGCTCGAAACACCATCCATTTAATAATATTGCATTACTGTGTTTTATAAAATTAACTCATCTAATAAGAAACTAAGATGAAATTATTTTCCCTATTACATTTACAAACTTAAAAACAATATTAGTCAAATTTGTAACCTTGAAACTGGGAGGAATATAACATCGGTAGATCCCTATCATATTTATTCACCATCACAAATAAATGTACAGAAATATCATTATTCATATTCATACACGTGTTGCGCATGCCAAGTGATTGTGTAAATAAAGCCATAAAACAACAAGGAATTAATTCGAGTGTTAAAGCACTACTTTATAGTGCTTGGAATGGCAGTCAGCTCTCTACCTCAACTTCATCCGCTTCAAAAAGGCCTTTCATTACTCTCAAACGTGTGGAGGTAAACAGCACTTAGCAATAAAAAATAAGATCCAGAATTTTCACTCCAATGTGAAGTCAGTGCTACTATTCGGATCAGAGACTTGGCGGGTCCCGAAGAGAATTTCGAACAAACTACAGACCTTCATCAACAGCTGTCTTCGCTAAATATTCAAGATCAGACGGTCAGAAAAGATCAGCAACAGCGTGAGATCTCTGGGATCGAACCAACCAGGAACCAATTTTGCAACAAATATTCAAGAATAAATGGAAGTGGATTGGTCATACGCTGAGAAAACCATCAAGTGACATCACACACCAGGCCATTGCTCGAGTGGAACGCGACCGGGAAGCAGCCAGTTGCTCTTCAAAGTGAGGGTGTCATGGAGGAGGTTACGTGAAGAGATGAAATAATGTGGGTAGACGTGAAGCCAGGTGAGGAAATATTGGCAAAGAGCCGAACGCAATGGAGACGTGCAGCTGAAGCCCTATGTTCCTCTACGAATTAAAGGAAACAATAATAATAATTATTATTATAGTGTTGATTTAGTCAGACTTTCTACTTGAATTGTTTCACGCCATTCGTGGAGCTGCTTAGAGAGCTATAGAATTTTATCACAGCTAATGAAAGAGACAGCTTCAAAGAAAATCACTAAATGTGTGACGTAACACTTAATCTGAATTTGTTTTGAAAAATCGACTGTATATCTACCAGCTTCTTCATGTAATATTATAGAAAGTCTCAACACTCGTTCCCCGATTAGTTTTCCCCTTTAACACGTTTGGTAGACTACAAAGACAAACTTGTGTTGGAATACACATCAATTCACAAAAAGAACTACTGATAGTTCATAAGCTAATAATGTACGTATCTGTATATTCAGCTACTGTATGACAGATCATGTAATCAACTTTATTTGAGTAACTGTAGAGTATCAATAACTCTCACAACAATCCACAAATGATAGTCGGGTCACTGACTGACGCATAACTTCGCATAAAAGCAAAGCAGTTCAAGTTATTAAACTTCAGAAAAGTACAGAATAAAGACGCAATGAACAAAAACGTATGGGAAAGAGAATAATTACATGAAGATTAGTAAGCATTTTCTAAATCGACGATAAATAAGAGTTAATACATTTGCGCCAATGTACATGATTCTAAGACACGACACCGGAAGTCTCCAATGGCTGATTCTTAGTTTCCCAAGGCAGTCGACATCTCCCTCAGATCAGTTCTTTGTAGACGTACCGGTGCTACGTTATTTCCTCATTGTCCATAACCATTTTTTCAACCATATCCTGTTTCGGTTATCATTGCTAATCAAGGAAGGCAGTGGCTTGGCATCCGTAACACATTGCTTAGCCATCTTAATCAATGAAATTTCGCAACATAATCTGTTGGTTTTTTCATCCCAACTAACACAGTCCCAAACTTTATTGTTATTCACCACACTATCGTATATCAGCATTTGAACGAAAGCACACATGATTGCGAAGCGTAATCCATTTTTATTGATTCTATCACAGTTGAAAACGCAAGGTGCTGCGCAGTACACATGCCATATGATGGGCAGCCAGAGACCAGACAAGTTGGCAAACACCACACCAGCCCTTTGTCAACGTCCTAACGTATAGTCAGCGACTAATCCATTAAGACTAATACAAGTCTCTAAATAGTAAAGTCACCAATACGTTCGACCATTTTCACCCCCTAACGTTAAACCGGGTATCGCTGCAGATCAGTGCTGCAAAATCATTTTGCATCTAACAGCGTAACGCCCATCAAGCATACATAAAGCATTCAGGAGAGTGAATTTTGAGCAAGCACAATTAGTGTAAGCTTATCTAAAACCGCAGACACCTAGAGATTACTTTTAAAGCTGAATGGACGCTAAAAGCAGCGTAAGTTTAATTACTTTGAAAAACTTAGTTTGTGAACCTTAATTCTCGAAAAAACCTATCAGTACTGAAACTGGATAGAAAGCTTACTTGTGTCCTTTAACTTGTAATCCAAGAAAATATTGTTTAAACCGTAATAGCCAGGTTGAGGATGAGAGAAATTTAAAGACATACTCCAATTCGAAACAGAATCATCAGGTACCCATTTTAATGACAAAAGGTTAAATTTATCACCACAAATTCCACTGGGCGTAATTTTATTAACATTTGTGGAGTTAATGTATGTTGTGAAAACTGAATCCGACTTCCCATCAGAATTCTGAAATAAAATGTTGTACGATACATTAATCACATGCAATAATGTACACTGAAAAAATATATGTCAGTGAAAAGTCGACAAAATTATTGCGGTACAAACCCCATAGAGGTCATAGTGAAAATCACTAGATTTAGTACGACTGTACACTAGTGATCTACACCTAATACCCCCACTTATTGAATGGACGAAAATATGTCAAATGTATTTCAGTGACGGTTTTACAGCATACATTTCGGGACTGCTTTTACGGAAGCAAGGAGAAAACTCCAAACTCCTTTTCTTTCAGAAGTACTTGAATATCTGAGGTAACTTTAAATTTAGACAACGAAATCGGTATCCGTAAATATCACTTGTGAACCGACTTAGAATGTATTCCTCGAATAACAAAAATCTGATTATCTACGAAAACTTTGTGCGTGATGGAAAACCTGGTCTTCGAATCAGGTTTCTTACTTACTCACTCACAAATCCTGCCAGGTTAGATCTTTCAACTGCTGGCATGTTGAAACCTAACCATACGAAGAAATACGGTTGAAAAACAAACTGGAATAATTTGACAATACACACTGATGGCATCCCAGTCTACATCAGCACATCACACTAATGAAACGAATAAAATTTTACTGAGAAACTACTTGCCTCATTACGAACTTTGCAAATAAACCAAACCAGTGAAGCTAAACTATAGTAGCCATTCCGGTTCATGACCGATAACGAATTATTTAAATGTCTTCTGTTCCGGATTTGCTTAGAGTTTAGGAATATCGAGCATTTGGTTTCTCTGCAAGTAGTGGGTTGATTACAATTACTTAAACGTAGTAACGCTGGGGAAGCTAAACGGGATAACTGGTCCTAGGAGAATATGGATTTCGGCGTGTGTTAGAGAACAAAACCTCGAATGCTAACGGGTCTCACAACACCATGACTTGGAATTCACCACCACACCAACAAGGTGGGATAGTTTTCACTACCTTAATAGGTGTGGCAGGTTTCGAATCCGTGACCGATGATTGAAATCTGACTGCATAGGACAAACTCCACAGCAAGCTACCCATTAACAGCGAAAGGAGACGGAGTAGTACGGACACTATAAGAGGCAAAAAGCTAAACAAACCAAGCAGATAAACACAAACACTCGGTGTTATAGGTCAAAGCAGGGTATGTAAGTGTATCAATACAACTGCAAACTATTTCAAGTAAACTACCTAAAATTTTCGACTAGTACTTTCACTTATCTCAATTCTCGGAAACGACATTCACCTCTGAGGAAGAAAGTATGAGTCGGACGTACAGCAGAGATTCACGCAAGCGTCTAGGGATTACGAAAAAGTCTACAATGCAAATATATTCATATTTACTGTTTTCATGCTTCGAGAACACAAGGATGATAACAAGTGAATTCACTTTCTTTAAAAGTGGGAACAATCACTGACTGAAGTCACTTTGAGTTGATACGTTACCTTCATAGTTCAGTTCTATAATCAAACTAATAGTACTGAGTCATTAGTTGAAATACCTCTTGATCACAGTGATTCATTTTCATGGTTTTAAAAGTATCATACCTTAATCAATTCCTATTTTACCAATTATAATGTCGTGACCAACTCCCAGTTATATGGCATGTCTCAAACTCCACCACGCGAGCAAACTTATGGAGCAAACAGCACATGCGAACCCTACACTAGTTACCGTAATACGATGTAAAAAAATGCATATTAGGATTTACCCTACTTTAAAAAATAAATGAATTGACTTAGCTGCCTTATGAAAATTACTAGATTTACTCATTTACCTAGTCAACTAGATTTAAATGCCATTCAGATCCTAAAAATACCGTCTGAGGGAAAAATTCTTCAGCTAGTAACCGTTTTGATTATAAGTGTCACTTGCTGCCCCAGAAAAGTCGCAAAGTAAGTCATAACGTAGATACTATGCACCACAAGAGAAAACTGATGTGAAATTTAAGGGCAAATTATGGTAAAAATTCTGTACGTGCGCAAAAACATATCGCCAATTTCCATAAAGCTCGAAAACTAACTACAAAATATCCCAAGATTCTCTGGAATTTTCAAGGATGTACAATCATTCAGACTGAACTGCTGAACCAAAGTAAACATTAACTAGACGAAGACCACGGTTCATTTCAATAAAACCAGAAGACAACATACCGATTTTGTAATATGGACTTTCATCATGGCCGATAACAATAGACAGTCTTCTACTTTGAATTTAACTGCTTTAGCGACTTCTGGTTCATCATGCACTGATTTAGCGATTGCGATTGAAATTCCTAAGGTTAGAACAACAGATACTGCTACGCTACGCATTCCGAAATTAAATGACTTGAGGTCCACTCGCAAGCAAAATTTGCGCCAACACCAAATCTCGCGCGGCTAGGGCTCAATAATAATTAATACCTTGGCCTATTTAAAAAAACTGACTATGAGTATAATCTGTGGTGCCGCGTAGACGATAAAAGTCGCTATAAACTATATTTTACCAGTCATCAGGGGTATTACCGATTAAATTTTTTCTTGCTTTCCAGATCCAGTTTTTCACGGTTATAATCTCAGTTCAATTTTTCAAAAACAGAGGATATAAGACTTCTTCGTTTTTCAAATTTCCACCACAGTTAAATGCCATATGACCTTAACACAGCGTAAAATTGAGACCGAGGAACAATAAATGTGATGAAATGGTACAGCGTGGGAAGCAAGGTACGAAGTTTGTCGTTTTTTTCGCGTGGTTCTCGTTTTTATTATTCTTTCTCGTATTCCCAATTTTCAGGATATATCCTTAGTGTCACTGATTATTTGTTTTATATCTAAACCTACCTTTGTTGCCACTGGATATTATCGTTTCTAGTTTTCCTGTTTCAGGTAACTGATTAAGGTATTACCACTTCGAACATATGACTTTCGATGCCCATATTACGCTTATTTTTTGTTTTGACATAACGTCAAACAACCTAAGACTCATATAACTGCAGTCCGGCAGTTCGGTATTAACTATACACAAAATGCCAGTTCAGCTATCGAAGCGTCGTGCTTCATTATCGACTGAAAACTTCAGCAAAAGACGAATCTAGAAGGCCTAAACAGCATGGTACCACACTTTCTCCTGATCTGACACAAATGCTAAATAGGACAAGTTCAGAAATCATTATTTCTTCACCTTCTTGTGTAATAAGTGATTTTATCAGGGATATTTACAGTAATACAGGTTGTGAGACAAGTAGTATGGGGTGCTACGAGCCACATTGGCTCGGTGGCGCAGTGGTTAGGACTCTCGCCGACCATGCACATGGTCCGGGGTTCAAGCCCACGCCGACGCACACCCGATATCTATGGTTGGCCTGCGAATTTCGGGCTACTGATATCCACGCTGAAAATTCCATACTTGTACCAAAAATACAGTGTGGAATCAGCTGTAATCAAAAATAAATAAAAAAAATAATAATAAATCTGACACCGGCTCCCCTGATGTGGTTGAAGCCACACCACCCATGTGCCCTGCTCAGAACTCTCAGTCAGAACGTCTGAACATACGTATGGCCTCACTATCCTCTACACCTGCTAATATCGATTCTTTCAGCTGCGTCAAAAGAAATGTTAACTTCCCCCAAATGCTTAGTAATCCTAGACATCAACCTTGATAATTCTTGCAATACACAGGCAGATTTGCTATCATCTGGTTCCATTAAATTGGATGCTATTAAGGAGGCGACAAATGTGCCATTTCAGAAGGCAGATAGGAGTGTGGTGAGAGCAGGGTGCTAGCCAATTTGTAGGCATTAATTTACGTCAATGTCTATGTCGCTAATATTGGCCGCGAGAAAATATGAACAAGGCTGATTCAACCAACAATCACAGCCAACTTAACGTGGGCAAATACGATTCGCAGATATATGGCTTAACTTTCTGAGTAACTATTCGCAAGCAGTACGGAATAACTTTGAGCAAGAAACAACAAATCGGAAGATTGCGTTGGTTTGCTTGAATAACCTATAATAATGTACGTAAAATATACATAAATACGCGCTGATTTCCTTAACAAACGATCTGTAGCCTGACTCTTGTCTTTTGTCGATACTGTAGTACCACCGCCACTAATACGGCTAAAGACCCAAACACGAAAAATTCCATTGGTCATTAGAGATCCAGGGAAGTCAACCTACTGCCATATTTGAAAAAGCAAACGGTACATGTCACTGTCCAGGTCACACTACACTGGACCTCACCCTATCCTTGGAAGACTTTCAGAAACTATGCGTAGTAATCAACACGAAAAACCAGAACACAAATTGGTGACACAAAAACCCTTTATTCTTGCACCAATACAAAGCCAACCATTAGTTTATTCTAAACAAATATTCTGATAGATTCTCTCATTCTTTCGACGAACAGCGAACCATGAAACGATGACGGCAGAATTGATGATTGCCGCGAAAAATATAGAGGAGTTGGGTTTGAGCAAACAACCATGAATTGATCGTTCAATCTTCAACTATATTGACACTCCCCGGCAAAATACGGATCCATCCCTTTTTTCCATCACGACCAATACACGTTGACTTGGATGCCATTGCGAGAACCTGGGTCACATGGACAGAGCTGAAATGGAAAACAAACAGAAGAGCCAACACACCACAGGCATAATCACGGCACAATCTCACCAATCGATGACGACCTGCGCCTTTCAGTTAAAAGGCATCCACTTGACATCTTGCAACACAGTCTCCACTTGCCAGAATGACCCTTGCAGAATGCATTGTGTCCATAGCAGCACCTCACGATACTCTACGCACATCCTCTTATCTACTCACTACCAGTTACCACTGGGATCGCTTGTCACTCATTCTGCCTCAGTTCTAGTAATGGTGACGTGCGCAAGCCCCAGTCGTCTACGCTGTCGCTCCCCGGCGTGTGGGAATACAGCCTAAATAGAAACATTCACTCTCTATCATTGATTCCACAGCTAATCCTTACCTCCATGTGCATGTCATTCTCAGCACTATCCTAGCCTCCTCGGCGTATACGACCCATCTGCTTTCTTTAACATCAATCAATTCATTCACGGATGTAGAAGACTCGAAACACTTCAGAAGAAAGCACGACAAACAATTTAACAAAATTATTCAATAACAACAAGATTCGAAAACAAGAAGTAAACACAATGAATCCAGAAAACACCAATTGATGTGACACACCACATATATACACAGAGTGCACATAACCTCGCAGATCACGTCTTGATGGAGTCCCTTTGAAGAATCACAGGACTCACACCAGTACGCCTGCAACCCTTCTCAGGTTGGTGATTGTAAGTTGAAGAATGTCCGGACACGAACAAGATTAACCAACAATTACATTAATTGGAACCCACTCAATTACTTGACACAAACATATGTACAATCAATACATAAAATGTGGATTCTGGCTTGACGCACTACCCTTGATGAACTGTAGGACATACAGCAGCACGCGTACATCCCTTCTCAGGTTGACGTCTTAGGTTGGGAAATCGTCGCAGAGTTCATTTGCTGACCTCCTTCTATCATCTATATCCTCAACTCTGAACGGTGACACGCCCAAGTCATTGTATCGTGGAATTTAGATGACTAAGAAACATACCACGTATCTGACCAACCAAGTGTAGGCACAGAGTAATTTACACCAAAGATAATAACATTCAAATAGTAACTTGAAACTTGAAAGGCGTTTATTCGTGCAAGTTAGTTCAACAATTACACCCTCATTCACAGTTGGCTTATCCTCATTAAAATGACCGATATCTTTCGTCTTTTCAAATGCACCGATACTAGCATAGTCATAGCAAAAGACACGCGAGTTCATGGGCGTCTTTTTCATCATGGATGACAACACCGACGATGACTGATTGAAACAAGTCGATAAACTTATCGGCGCATCAGTAGCTGTTATTGTTCGGCTTTTAGAAGATTGTTTAACTGCAGGATTATCACCACTTCTGTCTTTTACTACTAACTCCGGTTAAGCATTAGCATCTGTCAATAGGTGGGCTACACGCTCATCATTTACACTGACGGTCTCACAAGTATCCATTCCTTCTGCAACTGCATCTGCCTTTAATTCTACTTCACGTTCAAGTTGTACAGAAGCTTTGTTCAATTTAGCAGTAGTGGGTATTCCGCTCGTCTCATCATGGTCATGCAAAGACAGATCTGCACTACCATGACCACTGTCAACAATATCCACTTTAACTCCGTTTGTATGTTCAACTTCATCATTTTCAACTTCTTTAATAACAGCAGTAGATGATTTGGGTTCTTCCTCACAAAACCTTAAAGGCTTTATACCTTTAGTCTGACTAGGAATACGTTGTAAACTTGTGGAGTCAGAAGCGGACTCTGAAACTGTAACTCTCTTCTCCTGCACAAACTGTGGTGTCGTCTGTGACACTTTATTCAACAATGGCTTACCACTTGCAACTACAGGCTTCTGCACTGCACTCTTACCGTCACACAATTCGGAGTCAGAACTTGACGCTGATTGCACATTTAGCTTATCACTAAACTTGCTCACTGATTCACAGTTCACCTTTGTATGCTCTTCTTGCAAACGTGTAAAACACAACCGTATTTGTCTCGCAACTTGTAACCTATCTGTTGGCGACGTCCCACGAAAGCTGTTACACTCACTACGTTTATATGGATTACTAGACACCATGAAGTTTTCTCGATATCCACTTCGCTGTCATAAATGATTGCATTTTGCTCTCAGACTGCTCTATTCTAGGGGTGGGATGCAATATACTGGCAAACTTGCTCATGGATTGATTGACACTATCTTTCATCAGTTTCAGAATATCATCAAACTTTGGCTCAGTACCTTCACCCTCTATACGAGAGCTTATCTTCACCCACTTCCTTTGCAGCCGAGTAGGTAGGCGTCTCGCTATTACTTCTGGGACGGAACTCGAGTTGAGGTCACTCATGCAATTCATCGAAATCAATGCATTCTTGTAAGTAATCAGATTATCCAGATACTCAGTGAGTGTCTTGGACCACCATTACCCTTAACAGCCTCGAATAATTTCCCTACAATCATCGAAGGTCTACCGAATCGTTGACGCAAGATACTCATAGCCTCAGAGTATCTTTCGTTAGGGGGCATGAGCTTACAGCACCGTATAGCTCTTGAAGCAACTCCAATGCAGTACCTCACCAAATACATCAACTTCATTTCCTCATTTAATAAAAACTACTCAACATGACTTCAAACTCCTTTGCAAACTGTGCATAGTCATCTGGGTCTCTGTCGAAACGCCGAGGTTCGTACTTAGGAAGCTTAATATTCCTATTATCCCTAGACTGCGAAACATGAACAACAGACTAATCATGCTGAGCATCATACGTATCATGACAATTAACAACCAACTCAGCATCACTTAGTTTCCTGCTTTCTTCCAAGACGCTTCGTCCCTTCTCTGACCCAGGTATCACTGAACTTGACCGAAATTTCAGAAAAGTTCCGGATAATGCTCGTCCAAATAAGACTTGCAGGCACCAGGAAAGACGAACAGAAATTATCCAAAACTATCAGAAACTGTCAGTCAACTCTCATAAACTGTCAATGTCCAGCTCTTACTACGCTGGACCTCACGCTCCCCTCGAAGACTTTCAGGAACACTTTGTATTAATCAACACGAAAACCAGAACACTGATTGGCGACTAAAGAATCCTTCATTCTCGCGCCAATATGTAACCAACAGTAAGGTTATTATACACAAGGTCTAAGAATAAATGTTATAACAATAAATCATGATAATACTTCTGACAGTGTATTATCTTCCGCTGATCAGCGAACGATGAAACGATGACTGTTGGATTGATAACTCCCGCGAAAAATATGGAGGAGTTGGGTTTGAGCCAACAACCATGAATTGATCGTTCAATCTTCAACTGCATCGATAATATTACAGATAAGATAGAATTTAGGGTATCCACAGTTTTACCACAGAAGAAGGGGACATCTGAAACCCTGAGTAGGCTCTTTAAAAGATCAAGAATTAAGCTGATATTTGGCTCAACACACTTACCCAGGTACAAGCCCTGTAGGCTTTACGAACTTTCCATCGCAATTAGGCAAAATGGTCTTTGGAGCACCTTGCGATAACTATGAATTAAGTGAACTACATAGGTCAAATTCTGTGAACACATGAATCTAGCCAAGTGTGAAGTGGCTGACCCAGTGAAGATGAATGGTCAAGAGAAGAACTCAGTAGATATGGTGGTGGTCACTAAGGTGAATCACCCCATTCTGCAGGAACAGCAATATGCAATTTGACGGCTCGAGATATTTCCGATTTTTATGAGGGCTTAGATCTTTATCTTGAAAAAGATAATAATGAACGCCTTGACAGATCATGCTTCTACCTTTAAATATATACCATTCGCTCAGCCTATTGTTGAGATGCGACCACGCGGGATCTGCACAGATTTATGGGGCATCTTATAAATTAACTTGCTATCCATTGTCAGATCTTTAAATACCACTTCACAATATCTTGTCTTACTTATTTTCTAATAACGTCTTTACTTGATCCTCATTATATTCCATTAAACCTAACATTTTATAGCTCTTTATGAATTTGATTCGACTTATTCTATTCCTTTTCTCTGGAGGGTACGGTTGTGCACCAAATAGAGAAAAAGGCATGAAATAAAAACAACTGGCTTGAAAATAATTGTATTAAAGCCAAAAGTGGACATCATGATAGCACAAAATATATTGATTTTATTATACATTGCAAATGAACGTTGTCGGCCTAAGGATTAATTACTTCCCCATTCTGTTTTCTATATAAATGTGTTTATTAATGATATATTTCACTCACTTAATCTGTTACACTTTAATGTTTCACCTTAGCACTTTAACTTTTCTAAAACAGCTTCCAATCCCTTGTAAGCGTTGTACTTACCTCAATATTGGTTGGTTATCGTATGCCTACAACCACGGGATGAAAACGAAACGAAGTCGATTTTCCCGCTCAACCTGGAGGACAACTGTACAATTCAATAACTATACGGCCTAGTTCAGACAATGAGTGGAATTATATATATATATCAAATATTTAACTGTTGAAACATTATTAACTTGTAGACAATTTAAGATTTGACATTATAACATACTTGATCGTGCCTGTAAAAATGGCATGCATTTTCACGTAAATTTATGTTTATATGAAAATAAAATTATTATTATTATTCGTGTGTTAGCACAGAACCACATATTAAGGTAGGAGAGGCATGCAGTTCTAAAAAGAAATATAGGTAAGTGGAGGGAGCGGTTGATCACTGGACGCTTGTTCATCGAATCTTCAACTAACATCTGCAATGGGAATGGTGCGACGACAATACGAGAGATATGGAAAAAAATACCACCAATAAATCCATGGAATTGGAGATAATGGAATCCCATGGACGAAGTTTGAAAGTTATGTGAGCGCCATGAAATGACTGTGGCTAACCGAGTGCACTCAAAATGTCCGCAGAAAATATAAGTGCGTCAGTGTGCAATTCTATTACGTAGGTGTGTACTGTGGTGTGTACATGACGAGTACCCGAGGTTCATGTTCTTGGTAGCAAACGAATTATCTTGGACGCCCGACTCATAGCTGGAAGCAGTGGCCTGACCTCAAATTTCGTTTCAGTATGCTTTGTACAGGAGATTCCCACAGTGATTTCAGATTAATAAAGGTCTATCCTGTTTCACATATACTGCCGCCTTTAATTAAAATGATGCTGCCTGAGTAAGTGAAAGAGTTGTCCTCCTTCGAATTTCTCCTGTCTATACAGACTGGTGCTTGTTCTTGTGGGTAGGGTGTCTTCATCACCTCTGTCTTCTCCGTATTCAACTGATGCATTGTCTCCTCGGTCTCTTCTGATAGCTAGTTGATTTTTGCTTGCATGTAGCTGAGTCCGTATTGCATTTGCTATGGGTGTCTTCAAAATTCATCTATCTGGTGCACACTTGCTTTCACAGCGTCTATGGTTTAACACATGAATCAGTCCAACACAATTATAAAGACCATCAGTCATAGTAGGTAGCCTCTTCTTACTTCTGTCTTCAATATAAATGCTTCGCCGAGCTTTCCTGTGTAAATCACATGGTGTGGCATCATCACATAGCTATAGAACGAAAATGACAAAGGTTTGGGATAGACCATACTGCTGGGGCAGTTTAACTACTACTACTTAACGATCGAATCTGTCTAAGGCCTTTTAAAAGTCAGTGAAGTTTTAATAGAGATTTGTCTGAAAGTTGGGAGTGTTTAAACCTGCGTTTTTCGTGTAGCTGTACAAAATATATGTGGATCCTTACCATCACTTCTGAAAAGAGGTACCAATCTTTTAAAGTATATCCGAAGGATATCGATGAATCCGTTACCTGCCTAAAACTCTGATAACTAAATTTGAAGACTGAACGTGCACATCTTAAGGTTAGGCATAATCAGAGTTTAAAGGTTTGACGGATATCTCGTTCAGCAACTTCTAATTAATTTATTCTCGCGTACCAAAGACAGCAAAAGCCAATATTTGATCGTCCAAACTAAGTGATATATTTCGGGACCAAAACAAGCCTTCAGACGAACACCTAGCTAGCTAGTGATCGTGCACGTGACACGACGGGGTACCAAATGGCGGGAATGCTTGACCGGAAGCCTTCAGCTAAACAAGTCGACTTAAACAGTGGTGGTCAGCATCCAATGAGTGATTGCTGTGGTCAATAATTTTGGGGAATTATTTACCGCTACAAGAGTTTATTTGAAAATACCTTATAAAATGTTGAACAACCCGGTGCATCCTAATTAGTATACTGCCAGAAAGAAATCACGGTACTCACAGGCAGAACAGAGAAGAGTTCCTGTAAGAGGGTGGTGACAGTCGCGACAAGAGGAGTACAACAAGTTAAATTTTCTGTGCATATCTATTGGAAGATCAGCGAAATTACCTCATTTTTAAATGATTACAATTTTCCCTTTTACTTCTGATCCTATTTATTCCATTTCATTTTATTATTATTCGTTTATTAATTTCCTCTTTTTCGGTTGCACTCAAACTTTCAGCAGTTTCTGACTATTGTGAAAGACCGTCTGGAAAATATTGCTTAGGCATATTTGAGCTGGTCAAATACATAGTGAATAATATGATATTGTTGAAATGATCTGTGGTCTTAAGTTGAACTACGTTTCATGAACTTGAGATTTAGCCTTGAGAACATTCAACCTTGGTTTGATAGGTAGTCGTGTTATCGAATTATGCAAATCTTTCTCCAAAGTTTCCTTCTTGCTTTATATTCTCATTAGTTCATTACTGCCTATAAAATTTTTTTCATCATTGGCCGTAAGTAAATTTAATTTGTTTGCTGAATCATTCATGTTTTTTCTCTTCAAGTATCGTGGTAGCTGATTGGACTACCACTGCCAACCTTACGCATCATCTTTTACTGGCATCCTTTCCAACTTACCTGAGTCCTGGCTCACTAATCTTTATAAAACAAGGTTCATCTATACCTTCTGACAGTCACTCTCTTACTGGAAAGATAAATTCTGGGAGATTTTACAATGAAATCTGTACCATATGGTCGCGATTTCTGTTCAGATAGCTTCTTCGTAAGTCTGAATAACTTTAATAATATCAAAAATGTGTCAGAATGGAAGTGAGATCTGGGGATCAGATTTCAGATTGTCTGAGTGCTTTCAGTTTTCACTGTTGGCGTTTCCTGGACTCCTCTTGTTCAGCATGTTTTCACTTTCACTGCTGTTTAGGAAACAACAAAGTAGCATCCCTGTTGCCTTAATACGATTCGGAGTTCTGCAAGGTCTCAGAATGGTTTGTTATTTTTGTTGAAATTACTGTCACAGTCTCTTTGTGTAGGAGTTGTTGGATGTATATTGGTCCTGCTTGTATCAAACATAGTTGCGGAGATTTCTACTGGTGTTCGCTACGACGCTGTGCAGTACTTCTCTTTGGTTGTATCACTTGTATCTTCGGTAAGTAGTGAAAATATGCATATGTTTTTTGCGTGAGATGTTGGTTATTACTCACTTGGGGGTGAGATTCAGCAAAAATTCTTTTTTGAGGAAAGTGTTTTAGGTGTTCTATTTGTTTAGTTAGCAAGTACTTCAGTGTAATTGAGCACACAGTGACTGGCTACTGTATTAATTATCTGATTATTTATCCCCATTGTTTTGAGAGCATTAATTTGTCAGCTTTTATTTAAAAAGGAGCTGAGTATTTTATCTTCGCCGGATCTAAAGAAAATTACTATTGATGATAGAATTGCCAATCCAAGTGATATTAGGTGTAGGAAAAATGCACGAAATATTTGAGTTATCTTTGTATTTTAAAACAAATGCAGTCAGTGATAAGACTACAAAGTTGCTGCGAATGCGTAAGCAGTATACACTATGGCAAGATTCTGAGGACACAGTTTTACTGTTGGCAAATAGTGATTGTGGTAGTGCTATGGTGTTTTATAAATCCACTTTTTACGTTCTTGTTGTATAAGGAGGAATTATGAGAAAAGACCTAAAAGTCTCTTAGCCCAATACCGGTGTGTTTCTATAGCGAAGTTCTTTGTATGGATTTAAGTAATTTCATGAGAAGTGTGCTGAAAGGAATTATCTTTTCTAAGTACTAAGTTTCTTTATACTCTCTTCCTTGCTTATTCTGTTCTTCCTTGACTTTGCAAACATCGCCAATGACTTAAGTCTTCAAATGATCATCCAGTTTCTCAAAACCACAATTTACATATCATATAAGAGATTCCCATGCTCAGATTAGATAAAACGTCTCACTATTCGAAATTATACCGAGTATGGAAAGTTTATTAACTCTGCAAGTTCAGAGTGATTAGACTTCGAAATGAATCTTAAGAGTTTCAAGAGATTCTTTAGCCTGATTGTGCCCAACTGGCTGCTTCAGGAAAGATACTAACTCTCAGACAGAAGACTCACTACTTGATTGGATAACAGTGGACTGACGGCGTGACCCTTTGGACTTGATATTCAGCTGCTAGCCAGTAGGTTATAGTTTTGGATACCGCTCCAGCGGTAGTTTTATCAACCCTCTCAAAATGCGTGTTGCCCACTGCTAAGCGCTTAAGGGTCCATGTGGTTAATGAGTAATATACTATACCAGTGCCCGTGTAGTTCTTGTTTGAATGAATTTTCGCAAAATAAAGTTACTGGTACTTGTCAACGTTTTTTTGTTCAACTTGATTTGGGATGTATTCAAGAATACTCTTTAATCAGGTATTGCTTTTTAAATTTTTTTTATTCCTTTAAGTTCCCAGTGTGACATAGGGCTTCAAGCTTGAGCTTTGAAGTTCCGATAGGAGTAGTCTTTATTTTTACGGGATGAGGATTTTGTCCTCGTGCCCAACCTCCCCTCTTTACCAGTCTTGTTACTGGCTTAGCGAGGCAAAGGAATGCGTCGGCCGGGGATCGAAACCCGAAACACTTGCGTGGTTGGCGAGCATTCTACCGTCATGCCACTGACGCTTAGTTAACTCTAAAAGTCAAACTAACAGGTATAACTTTCCCAATTGATTTTTAAGTTGTGGTTGTTTTATTCACTATCTAACAGGTTTTCTATATATTACTGGTTGAATACAAACGACGTGCCTGTCAAATACGCTCGCAAATGTTGTTTATTTTCATGTGCTCACTATTCATTTGTATGCTTCCCCGCTTCCAAGGCTTATTAAATCCTAAAACCGAATGGCTGAATCATGTAAGTGAAATGCATTTATTTCATACTCTTATAATAACAGTCAGAATACTATTCATAATGCATCGTTTTTGTTATTCGCCATATCGTGAGTCGTAGTAGATGAATCCAATAAAGTTCATTCAGTTTAACTCAGTTACTTTGGGCATCTTTCAACCCATTAATTGAATTGTTGTTAAAGTAAGAAGGACGAGTATAAAATATTAGTATTTTGTTTTGAGGCTCCTCTTAGACAGTTTTTTCTTCCACTGAGGAGAAACTAAGCATAAAGATCATAGCCTTATGAGACAACACTGTACTTCAATGGAAAAGAAATCATACATTTGTAATAAGTTTGGAAAGAGATTCTACTGACGTTTTGACAGATCGTCTACGAGGAAGTCTTATTTATCCTGCAATATAAAGAAAGAAAACTACGTATTAGGCAAAAAATCATTTTGAAATGAAATCAGTGAGTTCAGGTTAGTAGTGTTGAATTAACGTACCATCATGAGAACCGACTAATGCGAGTGGAATAATTTTGAATAGTTCTGATTATGATTAGGAGCGAAGGTCTCTTATACGCAAAATGATAAAAGAACTTCGTGAAAGTAGCAAGTAACGTCTTCTGTGCGTGTCTGACATATCGTTATCTTTTCATCTTGATTTTTAAGTTTTGACCATAGACCATTTATCAAAAAGTACCTAGAATCTTTCTACAAACTTATTATAAGTACATAGTTTCGTTTTGTATCAAGTATAGCGCCTTTTTCACTGCACTCCTTACTATTTAATAAAACTACTATCTTCATGCTTACTTTGATACTAGTCGAGAAAAAAAGCTGTTTGCAACTTAAGAGAAGTCCTGAAGTAAAGCGCTCATATTTTTACTGCAAATCTTGTCCTTCTTGCTTTGATTAAGAAGACTGTGAGAAAGCGTAGTGTTAGTTAATTGTATTTTATTATTTACTGCCTTATAATATCTTCATGATGTTCTGCCGTCTGTTTCAGCTACTATCCTATCAAGAACTTGTTTCAAAATGAATAAAAAATGTAATAAGCAGTGGTAATACATGTCAGTAGCTCTGTTCATGATTGAGTACTAATAATGTTACTTGACCTATGAAAACTGAATGCGTACAACAATATTCGAATGTCTTTGCTTACAATCCCTATAAAAATGTCCGCCTGAACTTTGCAAGTTTGTTTGTTGTCATATTAACTTGATTCTGCTGTACATTACTTACTGGCATAATTAATTGTGAGCCATCCCTGCAAGTTAATATTCGTTTCTAACCGGATGGGGAAGTTTGTACAATTTGTAATCACCTGGTTTAATCGCTGTCATGAAGAAAATTCTGTATATTACGGAATGGGTTTACACCAGCATCTAGTTTAAAAACTAAAGACAAAGTACCTTTGCATCATTGTTACTTCATTCGTCCAACTTTTTATGCCAAATATAAAGTTTGTTTAATGGAGTGATTTACCGGCTTTTATCTCAAACAACTCAACCTCAGAAACAATAGCTGTACAAAAAGTGTGGTGAGAAACAAATTTTACTATTCACCGAGTGGGGAGCCTAAGTACATGAGTTTTACTTTTGGGCGTTGCATTTGTTGGCACATAACCGTGTGCTAGTTTTCTGGGATTATTTTTGTAATGTACACATCGAGTGTTCATAATGAGTAGTCCAACATTCTGTACTCTGCTATTTAACATTAGGCTGTTCACCAAACATAAGTTCAATAATATTCCACATCTTTATTTGAGATGAAGAAGCTTTTTAAAGCATGCGTAACAGATACGGTTATTGGATTTGCAATGTAAGGTTTCTACTATCTTTTTGGTTCATTCTGCTCTGAGACCAGTTCAAAGAAACAATCAGTTCCAATACAAGTAACTTAGAAGATGTGCAAACACACAAAAACAACCAGTCACATCCAAGGTCACCGGGAGAGATGATTAATAAACTCGTGGAGAAATCTAAAAGCTCACTTCAAATTGAAGTATGAGCTGAAGATGTCGCCTAGTAGGGCGATGAAAGCTCCGCAAATTAACTATCCAGCTTAGAGAACACAACCACATCAAAATCATCCACCTGAGCTACAAATCTTCTCTATCATATTGTCAGCTCGTAATATTAGTTAAATTAGCCAGAATTCTACAGTTTTCATGGCTGATCTTAATGGAAATGTCTGGTGAATTCGCTTTTTCCACTAGCAGTATTATTATTACTACTAACTAATAATTAGATGTGTGTATGCATTGCATTCTAGTTAAACTTAATTAAGATGAAACTTCATCTTTTGAATCGTTATATTTTGTGTGGCACATTTTACAGAATATACTCTATATTTTGTCGTGATAAATGGGAAGTTGTACAAAAAGTATGACATACCTGTGAAGTTAGTTATTTATATTTTCCGCTTTACTCTTGTCTTTCTTCTCTGACAGCCTATTTTCTACCAGATTCATCTAGGCGTTGTTTGTGTTTACATTTGTTTAACGTTTGGAGAGTTGCTTGTTCAATTCTTCTCACCTTATAACGAAGAAAATTCCTTACTGAGTGACAAAGTAAGTCTCATAAGATGCTTTTGTGCTATATATCACTACACTATCATTCTTACCGTAGCTTATGGGGTTGGGTATTCAGGTCACAAGTGCGACCAGGTGGTATCATCAGCCTTCACTTGAAACTTGTGCCTCATCATCTAGGGGATTAACATTCATATGTTCGTTGAGTAACGTTGCCTAACTGACTTTCCTATCATCCTGCCTCTTTTAAGATGTAAATTAAGCACTGGACTTTCAGTCACTTAGTCTCAAATCCAAATCCTGACCCATTTACTGAAGTGAAAACAATCAAGTAATGCCATAAGATGTCAAACGACGTGTAATTCAAGTATTGGTTTGTAGGGATTTGGTTGATTGGTTGCAGGATTACATCATGAGCTGACATTGGTTAGAGAACCATTGGAAAACCTGAAAGTACTGGACAGCTGTTTCGTCCTAGCTTGGGACTCTTCATCAGTACACACCTACCCCTAGGGTTCGAACCCAGGACCTTCTGGTTACAAGGTGAGCTCGTATACCATTAAGCCACTGAGACCTGATCCAATGGCCCATGAATTCTAACCTCTGCCAATTCACGACATAGCGCGGCCCCTAGCCGATGTCTTCGGCGAGTATTTGTCCTCACACCCGACCTTCTGCACCCTACTGGTCACGACTTCTCACTAGAAACCCAGGTAACAACCTACCTGAATAGAGCAAGTCGCCAGTGAGCATCTCATTGACATAGTGTAAGGAAGAATACTCGCCGAAGACATTGGCTAGCGGTTGCGCTATATCGTGAATTGGCAGAAGTTAGAATTCATGGGCCATTGGATCGGGTCTCAGTGGCTTAATGGTATACGAGCTCACGTTGTAACCAGAAGGTCCTGGGTTCGAACCCTAGGGGTAGGTGTGTACTGATGAAGAGTCCCAAACTAGGACGAAACAGCTGTCCAGTACTTTCAGGTTTTCCAATGGTTCTCTAACCAATGTCAGCTCATGGTGAAATCCTGTAACCAAACAACGTGTAACTTTGAGTGTAGTGTATAAAAAATGTGTTCCGAATTGCTAAGCTCCAGTTAGATCACTAACACCTCTAATTGAATTATTTGTGTGTACACATGTTATCCTCTGAGTAATATATTCTAACTCTACCAGATTAACGCAACTTTGACTACTGGGATAGTATGGTTTATCTTTAAATAGTAGGTGAGTGATTTCTCTAAACTTATGATGTCAGAGCATAAGCAGCATGACTAAGTATGAACAGTAATTTGGTTGTTCAGAACGAAGTGTTTGTTTTGGGATCGATGTTGAGGAAGAATTAAAAGTTTATGGATAATCTTGGAGTCAGCTAACAACGACTGCAGAGAACAGAGTGAAATGAAAACGTACTACTGAAAGCCTTTATTCTACTTGGAACCAAAGGCAATAATGATGATAGCAAGTAAATAACTTGACAATGATTAATTCTGTATATTTTTTATCAGACAAATCTGTTTTTCCACATTTTTTTTAGAATGCTTGTCCGGAATTATGGGCATCAGTTCCGTCCTTGTGGACTTTCAGCTGGTTGACAAGGTATGCAACTCTCATATATTATTAAATTTATACTGATTGCGTGATACTGCGAGTCATTACGAAATGATTTAGAAGATTTGTAGCTCAGAAGGACGATTTGCAATTAATAGTATTCTCTGAGCTGGTTGGTTTAGTTGCGGAGCTTTCGTCGTCCTTCTGGACAACATCTTCAGCGCAATATTTAGCATAAAGTGAAATGATTTAAATTTTTCATGAGTGATATAATTGTGTCTCCCGGTAACCATCTTTACATATGTATTGATCATTTTCTATTGACTTGGATTTTAAACTTTCTGGTCACCTGATTTACTTTTTATTAGTTGGTATATTTGGTCTATATTAGCGTGTTTGTTAATTGCATATTCGTTTGAGTATCAGGCTTCTAGGAATTCCCTAGCACTTTTGGTGTTTCCTCTGCCTAAGATTTCGACATTATCCCAATCAAACTGATATCCATAATTGTCTATATGCATTGATGTGAAAGAATATATATCGTGTCTTTCCACGGTTGATTTGTGTTCCTGGATTCTGATTCGAGGGGTACGCCCATTTTGGCTGACGTAATGCTTGTTACAGTTCATACAATTTATTTTGTCCGTAAGGACGACGAAAGCTCCGCAACTGAACCAACTGGCTCAGAGAACACTAATTGCAAATTATGTATTATGTAGTTGAAATTCAGAACTTACGTAGGTACCGTTTTAAGAATGTATTGTATACCACTTGTGAGGTTTTCATACCCTCCTTAATTAGTGATGTGTAAGTTACTTTTTTACTACTCTCATTTTGTTGCAAAAATTGATTGTGGTGTGTAAATAAGCATGTCATATCATCATTTGTCAAAACTGTGGTGTCAAACTTTGTTAACTTATATATGGTAGTAAATGTGTCTAATCAAGGTCGCTTCATTAGGCTTTAAATAGTTTGTCTACCACATAATCGAAAGTCGGAAAATATCAACCGATTAATAGTCAGTTTAATTTTTGATTTCAGTGTGGTTGTACTGAGAAGGGCCGAAAAAGGAACCTTCGATCCAGTGCTTTCTACTTACTAACCATAGTGTGTCTGATGTTGATTTACGGTGAAAAGCGTCTGAGAATCGACCAGTGGAATAAAGTTTTATTAGCGGTCATTTATATTGTTCCTAAAATAGTAATTTCTTTCTAATGTTTGCTTACGTCAGTGGGACAAGTCTCCTTCTTCCAATACCTTATCTTCAACACACCATTTGCATAGATCTTCGTGTTGTGGTACTTCTGGACTACATATTATGTGCGTCGGTGGCACAGTGGTTAGGACTCTCAACGACCATGCACATGGTCCGAGGTTCGATCCCCTGCCGACGCACACCTGATATCTACGGTCGGCCTGCAAAATTTGGGCTACCGATATCCATGCTGAAAATTCCATACTTATACCAAAAATACAGTGTGGAATCAAGCTGCAGTCAAAAAAAATTCTTACCTGATTATCAGAAACCCCACTTTCAGTGTATCTCTTCTCTTTCAAGTAATAATGCAGTGAAGGTAAAGTCTTAGTTTTATTTATCTAATTCATGTTGTTATATAAGGATAATGCATTTATCGATGTTTTATTTTTAAAATAATTTTATGCAGCACTATTTGGAAGGGATTCCGTGGCCGGATTAAAAGTTCTTCAGATATATTTCATATACGTCCTGAAGATTCAGTAAGCGAAAGTTATGGTCGTTTTGAGGAGGCTTGGCGTAAGACTTGTAATTCATGGATATACAGAGGAAAGTAAGTATTTGTTTTTCAACCTTTAAAACCATCTTCTGTAATTGACTTATTTTATAAAGGGAAAATTAAACATCTGATTTGTTCTTCAAATATTTAATTATTGTTATTTCTAAGTGTAAATGAACACTTAATCGAGAAGATAAGGTGAAGTTAACTAGTCGCGAAGTATCTCCTCTTCTCCTAATTAATATTATAAGTTTTCGTTATTATGTAACTACAGTTCAGTTTCGCAAATGACGATTGTTAGGACGAATTAAAATTATCGATATGCTAGAGAACACTTCAATTAATCCAGCACACAAAATGTTCACTCAACAATACTTGTTTATTAAAATGACTTGACGCGTCGCCGAAAGCATTTCTAATAGGCTACTGCAGACTTTTATCAACAGCTGTCTTCGTCCCATACTGATGATATCAGATGGCCAGAAAGGATTAGCGCCAAGGACCTCTCTCAATAAACCAACCAGGAGCCTATATCTCAACAAACATGCCGAAGGAAATGAACCAGATATTCTGAGGAGATCGTTGGGTGAAGTTGCACGTCATACCCTCAAGTGTGGCCCGAATCGAAAACGATGAGTTGGGCGTCCGAGAGTGATACTGAGAGGATCGTTTGAGAAGTATTTGACAGCTTATGGGCAATCATGGAGCCAGTTAAAAAGGGGACTGCAGGGAACGGGATGAAATAGAGGTGTGCTGCTAAGGCCATGTGTTCTGCTCGGAACTCAAGAGAATAATGATAATAATAATGAAGAATGGTGACATGAAATATTTCGTGTGTATATATCTGTCGAAGCTGTTCCTTACTGTAATATCTTTGGGAGCTAAAAAAAAACGAATGGTTCTTTTATTTGTCGAATATTGAAGAAAATTATTGGTTGATGAATTTTTTAATCTCTCTAAATTAACATATCCCTCGTCGGTTGAAATGAAATAAAACCATCATTGTACACCTAACTCCTCGATTACCCACATGGGGTTAACATCGTATGCTATCATAATATAATAATAAAATTGACTGAAAAATACCAAACACCAACTCATTGTAGTTAATAGTGTTTTCGTTCAGTTTGCTTTAAAATAGGATCGTTCACTTTAATTGGTTGCATACACTTAACTGAACTTTAGTGCGTTGGTGGTACAATGGTTAGGATGCTCGCCGACCATACATATAGTCCAGGATTCGATCCCCGGCCGACGCACTCCTTTACCTCGCTAAGCCACGAATAATCCTGATGAAGAGGAAAGGTTGGGCATGAGGCTAGCAACCCCATCCTGTAAAATTAAACACTGCTACAGAAACTTCAATCCTCTGGCTTGAAGCCCTATGTCCAGTGGAACTTGAAGGAAAAAACAACTGAACTTTGCCATACATTACATCCTCTCTTCTGTGTAGGCATATTTAAACGTCTTGTGAAAATATTCAATAATTCTAGTTTCGAATTTTCGTTTTTACCTCATTATTGTTTTATCATTTTCCATAAACAGCTTTCAAAATTTAGTATTAGATTCATGTATATATATATATATATATATATATATATATATATATATGAATCATGCTTGCCAAAGTGTGACCTCAATGAAAAACATTATGAATTCAAATATATGCTAGGGTATAAAGTAAACTTTATAGCATTTTAGTGATTCCGTGAAAATTTTATTCGTCATATGTGCATAATAATTTAGCGACGAATATAGTATGACCTGGTTAGAAATTCTTTATTTAAAAAAAATTAACTTGCTATTTCGCGAGCGTAATTTGCTCCTGACACTACTATTCACTAAATGTATTATGCTAGCGGTAACCTACTAGTTAACTGAGCTTTTGCACAGTCCTGTAAACTTGAATTTTATTGACTGTTGGATTCAGCTTAGAGTGATTTGAGATGTTGGTAACTGTTGGACTGCAGATTTGGATGATGTTAAAGCCCTTTTTGTTGTGTAATACAGAATAAGGTTAACATTGGGTTTACATTACTGTGAATGATATGTTTTAAGGAAAGGGTACTGACGTATTTAACGACTTTGAATATCAGTAGAAAGCAAAACGAGATGGCGAATTTCAGGTCACTTCTTACTAATACTGAATTCCTCGTTCTTATGAGTTATTAATTTATGAGTTTATGTCACGAGTCGTGAGCTGGACTTGTATCTAGTGCATTTGATTGATAAGTATCCCGTACGTTATTAAGTTATTCAAACACTAAGGTGAGTGTGTTCACATTGTAGTACACTAACAACCTTGCATAATAGAATAGACTAGGAAAAAACTAAAATGCTGAATGAATTCAGCTGTTAAAAACCATCCATATTAACGACATTGTCTTAATCAACAGTTGTAATCTCAATATTCAATATGATACTGACATATCCAAGTGTAGGGGATATGTAAGGAAATAATCATTTTACAGAGTTATTTTGATGTTAAAACTGAATTGATTTCTTCCTTTCCAGTCATCTAATATGGGATGGAAGTAATATTCGACTTTTAAGAAATAATGAAATTGTATATTAGTCATTGTACTTCTCTAAGGAGAGTTGGTTGACTGTGTTTTTCAATATATGATGAGACACACTGTTGACCGGTAGTAAGATAAAGAGATTTAATGAATTGCAACACGTTGTAGAGTTGGCACACATGTTTATTATTTAAGGAAGTAACATCCTTAGCCATTCGGAGGGTTGAGATTTAATGGGTATAGATACCATCTATTCCTCACTTGAGGGAATTCAGGATGAATTAATTTTACTAATACATGTTCATCGTTTAGACCTCTAGTGTCTAGTGTGTTACGTATGCCGAGTCATCGCCTCCCTCGACGAGCAATGTTAGCAGATATAGGGTCAGGCTGGAAAAAAAAAGCTAGCGGCGGTCAAACAAAAACTTGGCACCAGTCAATGAAATCCACAACAGTTGGTCTAAGCCACGTAGGAGGGTGTAGACTTCCTGACTGGTTGGGGTCCTCGGGACGGTAAAAACCAATGGTTGGAAACTATTGGTGACATGGCTACAAATCGTTCTGAATGCATAGCGCAGATGCATCCACTCCTTGTGACTTATGATCTCTAATGAAACTGTTTTGTCCTTCGTTATTACTCCGCCTTTGTCTCACACCTCTGCTCACTGTCTCTATTGTGCTTTTCTTGTACTTTCTTCTCTTGCTTTGCGTGCTACAAAGAGGGAGTGTGGTGACTTGAAGTGCCGCACATTTGTGCAAAGTTCTATGTCGAAAACAGACAGACAGACAGGATAACTGACTGGAATTCACTTAGATATCTAGGGTAGTTGTTTCTTTAAATGGTTCTTTATTCTCAGTAGGGTACTGTGTTTTTATTAGAAAGTACATGTCCTCAAGAGGCATATTCATGGTGAGTAGAACAAATTCACAATTCCAGATGTGACGATCGAGTTTCCCTAACATGATATCAATGCCGAACAAATTTGAATTTGAATTTTTATAAGATCAGTGTGATTACATAATGTATGAATATTTTATTTGTGGTTGGACTAAGGGATTATCTTTGTGTAACTTTATGCCAAATTTTCTATATGGTGACTGATATCTACTTCAGCAGCTTTTTGATATGAGGCATATAAAGATACGTATATTTGTCCGTATTATTTAAAAACCCGGATTGTTTATCTGTGAAACATGAAGAATTATACACTATTTGTGATTTACACTGAGGGCTAGGTGATACTGAAACATGGTGGTTACTTCCAGGTTTTCTTACCCTTGAGTAAGTGTAGTGTTAATCAGGGGGAAGGTGATACATTGCAGTCACTGTTCCTTTGGATAGTGTTGTAATTAAAGACTTAGGCGAATAGTACAGTGCGGATCCATAATTGTCTTACCTGGAGCAGTTTTCAGTAATAATACCGTTGTTTCTTGCACTGATTATTTCTTTTTAGTATTGAATTTCTTCTGGTGTTGTCAAAATGTTTTACGTAATTAAAACAGTTAGTAAGTCAGTCAAATTAAGTCATAGATCGATGTCAGATAATGAAGTCATTTTTTGACAGCATTTTTTTTTTAAATGTAGAAGCAGTGCATCAACCACAGTTTTGACGTGTACTTTGCTTCATTGACTTTGATTTCATTAACTGCATCAGAGAACAAGTAATTAAATCAATACGAATATGAAGAATATGATTAGTGGGGCATATTTTGACATAATATGCAAATTAACTTTAATAAATAATTTTAATAGACAAGAAGAATTGACTTCTATTTGTCTGCTAAAGATGAAATTATGACTTTGTACTAAAAATTTTAGAATATTTTATTAGCTGGAATCCTTTACATGAGTTATTGTAGAGGAAACAAAGGAAAGAGAAGTTCAAAGAAGGTATCATTAGCAGAAAGAAAGAATAATAATAATACGAAAAAAACTTGAGGTTTTAATAGGCATGGTAGATCACAAAGCGTGAATGAATCTGGACTGTTGAAATGGTTTTGAGCCATACCATCAGTAGCATACCGTCGGACTCCAGTCAGGAAGTCTACACCCCTGTATGCGACTCAAACTAACTGTCGAAAACTTCGTGGATTAGTGCAAGGTTTTAGTTTGACCAACCTTAATTATTTTCCAACCTATTTTTATGTCAGCTGACATTGCTCGGCAAGGAAGGTGGTGGATTGGCATGCGCAACACATATCCTAGCCATCTTAGTAGATGTAGCTTCATCAATTTATCGATTGGCTTGGTATTCCTACCTAACATTCTACTTTTAACCTCAAAATTTTTTAACTATATTTTACTACTTAATATGGAAGGCAGAACGCAAATATGTGGTCAAAGATAGATAATATTTTCATGTCATCCACCTTTAATGAATTAGTTCATTTGCTAGATTATTGACCTTCTATTCATCATAATACTTTATATTTATTTTAATTTTGGCGTTAAATATCTTTACTTGTTATATTTGTCCTACTTTTGCAGTATAACATTTTATCTCTCGTAATTCTGCATCTTTTATTGCTTCGTCTCCTGTATGATATACAGAACTAAAGCAAATTTTGTTAACTCTAATCACTACTTAAAGATGCTTGGCCCTGTTTTGATTATATCTGTCATAAAATACAAAAATTCGATTCAATTCTAAACTTCAGGAGAGACACTAGTTTCCTTGAAATTAACAGTTTCAAGAAGCATAAAACCCTAGTCGAGCCAGGCTTTCTACCGCTTAGTTGTGTTTCCATTGCCTAACATTAAATAATATTATGTTTTTTTGGTTATTTTGCAGATTGGTCACATCATTTTCAGATGTAACAGATGATGATGTACCACTGTTATCAAATTTCAATGGAGATACTCATGCGGATGATATGAATGCTTCGGAAGATACGAAATTGTTAAATGCAACCCCCAATGTAGATGTAATACAGCCGTCTTCTGCCAACCGTGGTTCAAATTCATCCAATGCAACAATAAATAAAGAACCGACAGTCAAGGCTAGTCCTTCACGTTGTACATGGGGACTGTTTTATGCTCTTATTTCGGCTTTTGGTTTTCGCTTATTTTGTGGCTGGGTTCTTATTTCTATTTCCGTATTCTTCAACTACGGTACACCTTTGTTACTTGGGTAAGTATATATATAATTATGTATGCATATATATATATATATATATATATATATATATATATATAACCTTGTGGTTTCTCGTCTTTAGCTCTTCACTCAAGCCACATTTTTCTGTTAACAACTATGAACATTCTTCAACTCCTTCCATTTTTGCAACCTACACAAATGATCCAACTCCAAAAGGTAGTTTATACGGTCGTTCGAAAACCACTATACGTACTTCTAATAGTTAGGTCACTTCTTGAATACAACACACTCGATGGTCTCCGTTCATTCGTCGATTAGTGCAATTTATATATAAGACGGAAAGATATCTAAGAAATTATTGACTGTCTGTTCATCTTTACTGTGTCTGATGTGATTTTATTTTGCATTTCCTGACCGTTGTATGTAAGCATGAGTAGATTCGTAGAGGAAACAGTTATTAAAAACAGTTGTGCACTATATCATCGTTAAAAATGTTAATTAATTAGTCTTGTGAGTGTGTACTGCTTCGAATATCGGGTTTCTTGTCTTAGTAGGAACCGTATGAGAATCGGTAATCAAGAGTGACTGTGATATACAGTGTTTTTGTATTCTCTGCTTGTGCACCTATAAAACACTTAGCAGTCATAGACTTCAGACATAAAAAGGGGACATTTTTTGTTCGTGTGGTTGCCGCGTGTAACTGTGAAAACAGATAAATCACATTACTTTCCATCACGCTAAGCGGGTTTGATCAAAAGTTATAACTTTTTTGGCGCACATTCTTTAGTAAGAAGAGACTATACGTTGAAGGTGTTTTCAGTTGGAGATTCCACGTGAAGAGTGGCTGACTGACCCCCTGAGATATTTGCCCTCTAGCTTCTTAAGACTTAATACACTTTTGTCATCCTTTTGTTTCCTGCATTTGTTTCCAGGTGCTGGTTTACAGTGATTTTGTGAATAAAGTTTTAGTCACATGCCGACATCAGTCTGAGAATCACTGAAAAACCAGTGGGGTATTGGACAGCTGTTTCGTTTTAGTTTTGGACTCTTCGGCAGCACGCCACTACAGGGTTTTGGATCCAGGACCTTCTGGTTACAAGGCAGGCTCGTATACCATTCAGCCACCTAAACTCTGACCAACGGCCTATGAACTTCAGCTTCTACCGATTCGCGATATATATAGCTAATGATCAAACCTGTAACCAATCAAATCCCTGAAAACTAGCACCTGGAGATTAAACGGGTGCTCACCAGTAGCTGGTTTTACAAAGGAAGTTACGTGCAGCAGTGACCACTAAACCTGCTTAAAGGAAACTGACTGGTAGTCGTGCTGGAATTCATGAGCTGTCGGTTCGGATCCCGTTGTATGAATGGTCTACGAGCTTGTCTAGTAGTCACAGGGTCTTTAGTCCTAACGCCAGTGGATGCGTACAGATGAAGAGTCCAAAACTAGGACCAAACAGCTCTCCAGTATTTCCTGTCAGCCCATGATCAAACCTGTCTTACATTTGTGTAGTGGTGTAAAATGTGTCAATTCGTATTCTAACACAGTAGTTCCAGGTGATATGAGAGTGCTCTGTCATTACATGGGTCTGTCTTGTGACACAGATTTTTCAGTAAATACTGTCGCGTTTCCGTGCAAATTTGAGAATTTATTTCCATACACATATGTTTCTAATTCAATTTAAATGAAATGGTAATTGTCCAACATTATTCTGTCGTCATATATCATGTACTGATAATCCTACTTTTATTTTCCACTTTCAGAATGTTACTTCAATTCCTTTCAAAACCTGAAGCCCCGTTATGGCAAGGATATTTTATTGCAACTTCTATGCTATTAATGCAAATGATAAGTGTTTTCTTGATTCAGAAGGGTTTTTATTCATGTTTATCATTGGGAATATCCGTCCGTTCAGCGCTTACATCAGCCGTTTATCGTAAAGTGAGTGAAATGTACTTAACTGCCGTGTTAAATCGTGTTTTCCATAACCTTTACTAACCATTGACATTTATTATTATTATTTTTTCATTAGTCTCTCCGGTTATCTTCAGAAGCTCGGGCTGAGTATACAACTGGTGAATTAGTAAATTTGCTCAGTGTTGATGTGAATCGTATCAAGGAACTTTTTAGTAAGTATGAAAATGAATTTGTTGTGATCCACTTACTAGTTTACATGTGTTATAGCCTTTCCAAAGAGGAATTGTACTTATTGCTTTTGTTGTTAAACGCGACAGAATTTTTAATGTTAGTTCGTGGATTATTATCCTGTGAAGTTGACAGCAGTTATGTGTAACCAAAACTACTTAACAAACACTTGTCATATTCTTCTTCTTCTTGCAGTGCAAACATTACCTACATCTTAGTACTGATGAGAGTTTCGATTCTAGGGCTGTATGAATACATGTCGATTCCATAAAATAATAAGCTTAATATACACTTCTTCAGTTTACTAATCTTTCTCAATACGTGTGGATACTGCCATTTTATAACAATTAATACCTTGCCTTTGTTGAAGCAGTAAATTTCGACTGGATGGTGTTTACTGAGTAATGATGTGCTCATATTCTCCAGTATTGTTTTTATTGTTCTGGCTATCACTGAGAATGGTCTTAGCCAAATAATTTCACTAAAATAGAGAATACTTCTAACAGAGTAAGTTAACAAATTTCAACTTATAGTGACCACATATTTTAGACCATGGAAGAGGGTGTATTGATCATATCTTCACCCTCCGACAGATTCTAGAACATAAGCACTCCTACCAGCACCCAACAGTCATTACATTTCTTGACCTAAAGGCAGCTTTCGACTCTGTCGATCGAGAAGTTCTCTGGAGATGCTTGGCTGTAAAAGGAATGACGAGAAAATATATTCCACTGATAAAGGCACTCTACTCGTACTCATACAGCCAGGTGAGGGCTTACAGCGAGCTTTCATCCGAACTGGTGACGACTAGTGGTGTCTGTCAAGGATGCCCATTATCCCCTTTTCTATTCAACTTCATCATAGATGTGTTAATGGACTTAACCCTAAGTGACTTCAGCGACTCAGGGATTGACTTGTTACCAGGGAATAATCTCATTGACTTGGAATATGCAGACGATATAGTCCTTCTAGGCGAAGACGCTAACAAGATGCAGAGTTTTCTGAACACATTGAGCTGCAATCTACGAATGTTTGGCACGCGATTCGCTCCCGCCAAATGCAAGATGATGCTACAGGACTAGACTACATTGACTCCTAGCTTAGAAGTAGGAAGTGAAGTGGCAGAGCACGTTGACCGCTTCACTTATTTGGGAAGTACCATCAGCCAGTGCCGACGAGTTGATCTCTGACAAAATCTCAGAACGGATACAGGGTGCTCGTTCCGCATTTGCCAGTTTACGCCGACTCTGGCGTAGACGAGATATCCGACTATCGACCAAAGGGCGGATGTACTGCTCATCAGTCCGCTCCGTCCTCCTTTATGGCCGGCTGTGAGACCTGGCCACTGAGAGTGGAAGACATGAAAAGATTAGCTGTCTTTGATCATAGGTGCCTCCGTTCTATCTCCCGTGAGAAGTGGTAAAACAATGTGAGCAATATTGAGATTAGGCGTCGGTCGAGTTCTAGGTGAACAGAGGAAATCAATCGACAAAGCTGTGAAGTTACACAGATTGAGATGGTTAGGACATGTGTTAAGTATTCTAGCCTAGTCATCGCCTTCCCCGACGAGCAATATTAGCGGATATAGGGTTAGGCTGGAAAAAAAAACCTAGCGGAGGTCAAACAAAAACATGGCACCAGTCAATGAAATCTACAACAGTTAGTTTAAGCCAGCCACGTAGGAAGGTGTAGACTTCCTGACTGGTTGGGGTCCTCGGGACGGTAAAAATCTATGGTTGGAAACTATTGGTGACATGGCTCCAAATCGTTCTGAATGCATAGCGCAGATGCATCCACTCCTTGTGACTTATGATTTCCAATGAAACTGTTTTGTTCTTCGTTATTACTCCTCCTTTGTCTCACACCTCTGATTACTGCCTCTATTATGCATTTCTTCTACCTTCTTCTCTTGCTTTGTGTGCTACAAAGAGGGAGTGTGGTGACTTGAAGTGCCGCAAATATGTTCAAAGTTCTATGTCGAAAACAGACAGACAGACATATTTTAAAATAAAAAAAGAGCCTAATTATTTACCTGTAAAACATGCGTTGTAACAAAGGCGTTCAAAAATAACATCAGAGTTAAGAAAAGAAATATGTCAAGTATAAGCTTTGCTTTTTAGCAAACCATTTATTCATACTCATAACTTGTCCATAGTTTCTGTGAACAGAATCTTGAAGAAAAAAAGCTTTGTATACACTTGGTTCCCTGAATTGGCTTAAACAGATATTTGCAGGTTAAAAAATGAGTTCATTTTATTTTCCCGCTTTTCTACAGCTGATAATAGCCTAAAATTTACATAATTTATTATAAATAAATGATCGTATTTAATTTGAGAGTTATTTTAATCAAGAGAGCATTTAGTAATTCATAGTACAGTAGGTGAAAAAACATCACGAGAACAAGGTGGTTAATACTGAAATAATCAAAACACCAGGATTTCTTTATATATAATATGATGGGAAGTCTAAAAGTTAAGCATAGGAGGAGAAGACTACAATCCTTAAGGTCAAATAGATATATTAAGTGAAAGTAGAACATCGCATCAACAAACAAGTCTAGTTTGATTGGACACTAGTAACTAGTGTGATATGTCTAGTCCTTTCTTCGCTGCAGACTGAATTCTATCAGTCAAGTTTGTTATGCGGCCACCATTCTAGGTAGCTCGCCATCATGGTGCATATTGATTTGATGGTATTAGATAATTGGAGGCAATCGGCAGGAAGCCTTGGGCCTAGGTTTTGTGCTGGTTTGCACTCATTAGCAAGGTGTATCTGCGACCTTGAAGGAACTTTTGTCCCTTCTGAGATTCGAACCCGCGTCACCCACTGCTGCAGTCAGAGGCGTTACCACTGAGCTATTCGGGCTCGCAATTGACCTCCTGTAGGACTGTAGTAGACATTTTGATTGGACACTAGTAACTAGTGTGATAATGCGTGTAGGTTGCAGATGCGCCTTGCTGATCAGTGCCAACCAGCACGAAACCTAGGTCCAAGGTTTCCTGCCGATTGCCTCCAACCATCTAATATAAACAAATAAATATTTCGAAAGTCTTAATAATTATTCCAGCTCATTCAATGAAAATTGAGGAGATCAGAAATCCATTGAAAGGAAATGATGCAACAAAAAGCACAACAAAATGCTTTTTTTAACACAGCATTTCAAAGTTAATATTTAATCCAATTTTTAAAAAATTCCTCTTTTTTTAAGTGTTCTCGTTTTTTGTTTGGGATGCAATCATTGAGTTCGTTCTGGCATTCATTTTGCTATGGCGTCAACTGGGTACAGCTGCAATAGCTGGTATCGGAGTACTGTTGCTAATGTTGCCGTTAAATGTTTTACTGATGTGGGCTACTCAGAAATTCGAAGTAAGTAGTATCTTTATGCTAGTTATTAATATTAAAAGCAATTTAATTCATTGCTTTGTTGTCATATTTCCTAGAGTTGTAGCTTAGTGATCAGTGTGTATGCATGATTTATACTTATTATTTATTTAGTGTGTTTGTGTTGGACTGTCATGTCGAATAAGCATTGATTTTTACCACCTACTTAGTTACTGCACTTTAGTCAACAGATTGATTCTATATCCTATTGATGACATTATGTCAGTAATGCTAATAATAATAATTTACTTTATTCCAAAAACAGTACTTATAATACAGAATGGAATTCTCAGCATTTGTCACAATATTGCATCTGATTTACTTAAAATATAAATAAAATTAAAAATTAAAACAAAATTAACCAGAGTAATATGTCCACGTTAACGGTGTGAAGTTAAAAATATTCGAAGCACGAATTAAGAATGTTATGTATAACAATAATAATAATAACTGTGAGTTTGTTTCAAACAGTATTGCCGATTCATTTCCGAAATTTTAGCATGTTATTATGGATTATTGAATCTAATGTTCTGTTGATATAGCAGCATGGTGAGGGGAAATACAAAATTAACAGTTATAACACAGCTTAAATGATGTTCACATTTATGAAAAAAAATAAACAAAAAAATTCAGAGGATTATAAATATAAGAAATACAATAACAATAAAGTTTGGTGCTGTAAGGGTGGAAGGAATGGTTTATTTAGTAGTGCAAAGAAGGTTAGTTAGCTCATGCCTGACATCATTTTCATCACATAAAGTACGTGCTAAATGTGGTGTAGTGGAATTTTTATACTTAGATGTACGTGCGTAAATTCTTCTGAAAAGACTTCTTGTTTTACCTGAGGAGACACAAGGTTGGAGCTGCAGGTAGAATAGGTACTCAGAGTCTGACAGAATTTCTTTAGCGAATTTGTTACATGACATCAAGTGCCTATCCGTGACAGTGTCAACGATATGGCCCAATGGAATACCAGTCGTCCTACTGACAGTCTTCAGAGTTCTACGAAGTATGACATAGCCTTTTTTAAGCAATCCAGGAAAGAATAAGGGTGAACAGTAAAGAAGAATAGGTAAAATACGCGAGTTGACAAACTGTAAGAGGAGGGGTTGGGTTATGCCTGAGTGCCTCAACTTCTTAATGTAAAAAGTCAGACGAAATATTCTTTTAGAATTCGCTTAGACATGGGAAGACCAGGATAGGTCAGAAGAAAGAATTAATCCAAGATACTTAACTTCAGTATCATCAATTTTGCAAGGGTCATAGGAATCAACGGCTTCATTTAACTTTCGTTTGCATCGGAAACTGAAATTATCAGTTTGACATTTTGAAGGATTTAGTTTAAGGCCGCGAGACGAGGACCATTTGCTAATTCCTGATAGAAAGCTGTTCATCTCAGCACAGTCAAGCTGGGAGTTAATGGACGTTGAAATAGTTAAATCATCGGCATACTTAACAAAGTTAATTTCAACAGAGTGAGGCAAATCACGCAAGAATAAAGAAAACAGAAAAGGAGAAAGGATAGTGCCTTGAGGGACACCAGCCTCAGTAAGCAATGAAGTGGACGACTTTCCCTGACATACAATGTACTGCTTTCTTCCTGAGAAATAAGAATGCAGCCATTTGACAACCCAACAGTCAGTCTGAGTTTCGGCAAGCTTGTTTAACAAAGTGACCCTAGATACTGAGTCGAAAGCAGATGTGTAATCTAGGAAGGTGCAGTGAACAAATTTAGCCCCCTTGTCTAAGCTGGAGACAATGTTATGGTACAAGACTGAAGTTGCATCTAAAGTACTTCTGATGTGTTTATAAGCTAATTGTTTAGGATCGTTAAAGGCTTTAAGTGAAGGTTGGAGATTAAGTAAGAGTAACTTTTCCATAGCTTTTAGAAAAGGAGATGTAATAGCAATAAGTCTAAATTAAAACATGTTCCAGTCGACGAATTAGGGGTAGGTACAATTTTGATGTCCTTCCAAACGGCTGGCACGACATTTATGGAAAAAGATTTGTTAAATATTATATCATAGTAAATTAGACATTATTCATTTAGTAATCGTCCGTAGGTATGGCATTTCACTATGATGATATCTAAGCGAATGAAAATGAAAACGCTTGTGTCGCGGTTGCCTCGCTGCTATTTCTGTCTACATTTTCCATTGAAAGAGCTCTTAATATTGGTATAACCACTGTCTTCAGTTCAGCTTGGTAAATCAATAAAGTAATTTCCCTCAAGTGTATTGTCATGCAGTGTCATTTAATTGAATTTTACGGTTAACCGAATGATGAATATATCTAGCAGTATCCCAAGTGCTGCGTCCATCAGAAGTCTACATGTAGGTTGTGGCTAGTCACCAGGAACATAATCTCTGTGTGGTTATGGAAATCTCCAGCGTTGTACATTTGGAGAATACAGAGTTGGATCCGGTTTTCCACTTTTTACCTGAGATCTGACCCACAAGTTTGGAGAACTACCTCAGAAGTCAGGCTACTATTTTCGTTTGTGACGAAAACTGGTTCATACCTTTCTTACCTTTCTTTACAATTCTGGAATCCATGTGCAGCGTAGCTTTAGACAACCGTCGAAAATTAGGCAGAGGAAACAAAAACGCCTGAGAATTTCTAGAAGCCTGGCATTCCAGTGAATTGGCAATTAACAGGCAAGCTGGTATAGATAAAACTTACCAGTTCTTACGAAGAAAATCTCATGCACATAAAGTCAAACTTCAGGGCAAGGAAACAATCAATACCAATACAAGTAGACTAGAGGGTGTAAAAACAGACAGGAGTAACCAGTCACATTCAATGTCATCAGGAGACATGAATAATTAACTCGTGGAAAAATTTAAAAGCTTACTTCAAATTGAAGTATGCGTTAAAGATGTTGCCTAGTAAGGTAATGAAAGCTTCACAAGTAAAGTATCCTGCTCAGAGAACGCAACTACATCAAAATAGCTTTGAAATTCGGGTTTACTAAATCTCAAAGGTGAACCCTCCATCTCCACCATTCCAAAGATGGAAGGTAGACATTTGCATTTTCTATTCCCATTTCATAGGAACACGCAGTGCGTAAAGACTAAGCGGGACTCGCCTGGCTGTAAGTTACCTCCCATATGAGAGCATTTTAAAGAGAAAGCCGGAATCTATTGATTTTTAGTCGTTTCAGATCATTTTTGGATTTGGCTACACGTAATTCGTTTGTTGATTATAATCCTATTTTTGCAAACCATTTTAGATACGTGAAATGAAGTTCAAAGATAAGCGCATGAAATGTTTAGGTGAAGTACTTAGTGCTATACGCGTAAGTTTTGCAAATCCATACATATGTATTGATTGTTTTTATTTTCTAACTACGAATTCCCATTGGACTAGTTTTTCTCCTTATTGACACAAAGACAAACAAAATATGCAAAAATCGGTTAACTCTTATTTGAGAAATCTAACATCTGTGCATAATATTTTCGTTTACTAAACACGAAGTTCATTTTTATTTATGGAAGACTTTCTGTCCAAGTAGAAGTTTCACATCAATACATTCTGTCCAAGTTTATTATTCAACGTGTGATGACTCCATACTTCAAAATTATTTCAGACTTAACTGTCTTCCACATATTTCAGTCCTCATGAAATAGTAGAAAATAGTATTTAAAAAGTAGCTTAATATTCAATCTGCATAACAATTTTCACATTGTGGAAAATTTCATTTAGCCATCAGCATACTTTTATCAAAATTTATTTCATTAGTAATATATATATATATATATATCATGGGTTACAGTGTTACTAAGTTGAAGAGTTACTGAAGCTGTTATTAGAAATATGGGAATGCGGTAAAGAAAATTTGGAAGACAGGTGCAAAAAAATGATAACAGTAACGTGGTAAACGATGATGATGTTAAAGATCTCGAAGTCGAAAGTTCATGGAATTTTCTTATCATACGAAAAAGGGCAAATTTCATACATCAGTCCTTTTTCTAACATGAAAAACACTGGACAAAATGGATCTATTCTGTTACAGGATTTCATCATGAGCTGACATTGGTTAGAGAACCATTGGAAAACCTGAAAGTACTGGACAGCTGTTTCGTCCTAGTTTGGGACTCTTCATCAGTACACACCTACCCCTAGGGTTCGAACCCAGGACCTTCTGGTTACAAGGTGAGCTCGTATACCATTAAGCCACTGGGAGCTGATTCAGTGGCCCATGAATTCTAACTTCTGCCAATTCACGATATAGCGCAACCGCTAGCCAATGTCTTCGGCGAGTATTTGTCCTCACACCTGACCTGCTGCACCCTACTGGCCGTGACTTCTCACTAGAACCCCAGGTAACAACCTACCTGAATAAGGCAAGTCGCTAGTGAGCATCTCATTGATATTTAAGTGTTGGTTTGTAGGGATTTGATTGGTTAACCAATTCTGTTTTGTCAGTATCTTGTCAACTACTAACAGCGTGTATTAATATTGTTCCCTTGGGTTTCGTGTGGAACATTTCCATTTCACCGTGTTCTATCTAGTCTTTTTACTTGGCTACACGATTGCCCACATGCTTCCATTACATCTTCATACGATTTCCCCAATATCACCCTCAGACATCCAACTTGTCGTTTCTCATTCAGGTTCCTTGTCGAGTGCGTGGCGCTTACAATTTGTATAATCAACAAAAATAGTTGGTTTGCAATTTGTTTTATTTAATCGTATTTAAGGAAAAAACCTGAAATAGATGGGATCTTAGTAGAAAGTAAGTGGTAAGTTAGTAGAGTAGGAGATAACAGCAGATATTTTGTTTTGAGTCATTAACAGATCATTGTGTAAGAATTCCTGAATATCAGGGGAAAATCACACCATTCAGCATCGTTCTTGTCTTTCATAAAATTTTTTCCATGAAACACATAAAATCGCCAAGTATGGCCCTTAATTTGAATAAACTTAACTATATATCCTATTTTTCTTTCAGGTTGTCAAACTTTATGCTTGGGAAAAAGCATTTCAATCTCAAGTTAGGTCAATTCGAAAATCGGAATTAGTTGAGCTTCTACGTGTTGTCTTAGGTTGGAGTCTGTGTCATATTGTTTGGAATTTAGCGCCGTACCTTATTTTACTGGTTACATTCATCACCTACCTTCGGGAGTTTTTATTCGCCAATGATACTCTGCTAGAACGCTGGAGCGGGGGCAATTCTCCTGCATTGTTAACACCTGAGAAAATTTTTGTTAGTGTCAGTTTGTTTAACTTATTGCGCAGTCCCCTTATCTTATTACCGTGGAGTCTTTCATCGTCAATAATGGTAGGTTATAACACTTTTATGTACGGGTGTATATATGATTTATCGAAATTCTGTCACTCTCCGGTGTGTTTTCACATACAAATTTATACCAAATGATCATACATCTAAATTTCTCTCATATTTGTATTATTGTAACCTCCTCAGTATTAGCAGAAAAAGGTGGATTCCACTTTTACAAAAGTAGAAACGTACTGTGCATGACAATATTTTTCAAACCACTTTTTTGCTATGACAACAAAATTCATAATTAAATTAGGTCATTTGTTTAAGCCAGTTTGAATTTTTTGTTGAGTGGTTCGTTTTGAACCCAAATCCTCGGTATCTGTTGACATTTTGGCTACTAGTACAAGCACTTCGACGATGCCTTTTGATTAACATTTGGTTGATAATGGCCGGAAGTGGAGTCTAAGATGCGTGCTTCGCTGTATTTGAGACTCGCCATCTTGTTGTACGTGGAACCCAGTGAGAATTTGCGTTCCCTTAGAGACTCGAACCCTAAATTCATAGTTTCAAACTCTAAGAAGTTGTCCGATAGGCCACCTAGGCGTTAAGAGCCATCTCTTGGCAATCAAGTTTAGTTATTATCAATGAAAAGCGAAAAGGCTCGCATGTATGATCACACCAACTTTAGTTTCTATTTATTAGAAGAGTGCTTTTTCCTCAGTATTTTTTGAACAGTATGCTTTGGTAATAATAATAGATAATTTGGACTTTTTCATGGCGTTTAACTGGATGATGAAGGGTATTATCTTATTTTCAGTCATTCATTGATTAATTTTATGCAGTTAGACCACTCATCTCAAGTGATAAAATGAAATCAAATACATCCACCTTAGCTACTAATCTTCTCCATTACCTCAACTGCGTATGTAATAGGTAGCTTTAAAATGTAGTTGGAGGATTGTTTAAAAAAGTAAAGCAATATGTAACACTAAGTGAAAATAGATGTGTGTAGGTAAAATTAAGGTAGCTGCAGTTCCCAGATAGCATTTAGTGGTTGTAATAATCTTGAGGTCGTCCATATCTAAGCAGATTTGTCAAGGGAAAAGTTGTATTAACCACGTTTGTATTATAATCCGTCGTCCACATACCTTGAATATTGTAGTTCCTGAAATTCACTTGAACTATCCTAGTTGAGACTTGCATCACTGGCCTTTTTCAACGTTATGAAAACTAAATAACTTAGTTTAATAGAAGTAATTTATCCAGCCGAATTATGAACACCTTGAATAATTTGTAGTTGTGCTTCGCACTACAATAATGCATCTCAAGCCCCGGAACCGATAGGTAGGTTAATTGACTGAAAATGAATTTTGTAACATTACTGGTAACTTGTAAAACAAAGTGGATATTCGGTAGTAACCATTAAATTTATCTATCATAGTCTTGTGGAGAGCCAGTCAAAGTCTATACAGCTCAATGGCGGTGTTTCTGCTGCATTTAGAGACATCATTTGCACTGGAGTTGCCTACTAACGAATGAGTTTCAACAAGTATGAAACCAAGTCCCTAGACTTTCTATCACTCCCTTCTTACCATTCAGTATCAATTCATTGAGGATCGTTATAATCACTACTTCTTGGCATCAAGAGATTAATCTTATTTGATGGAGATGACATTTATACTGTTACTTTAGTTCTGTGATGCAATTGTCATACAACATGCTGTAGTGAATGTGATCAAATATTTTGATTTAGTTAGAATGACAAATTAATACAGATAGAAATGGAATTCATTTTCATTCAAAGAATTCAGTATTTCATTACGTGTGATTTCAAAATGACATCAGCTGTTTGTCAGGCTTTAGGGTTTCTTATACTACGTCATACAAATAAACGTGTACTGATATAAAGTCAGTAAGCATTAGAAAATGACTAACTAACACGTTATTATTACTTTTTTCAGGTGTACGCTGTATTTCGATTTTCGAAGACACAGTAAATAGTTTTTGGAATATCATTAGGTTATTGATTGAAGCTTACATCTTCAATATTGACTTCATAGTATCGAAAAAAACATCAAACACCCAGATGACATGCCACTTTTTCATGTAGAATCTTTTGAGATTAGTCTGAGATAAATAGTAAGAATGTTTGACAGCACTTTTTTATACGCTTTTAAGCATTCTCTAATCTCAATAGGATACCCCTACAGTAGCATCGGGGTTTTATATTCGACGTCAAGTTTAGTCTGAGAACTGTAATATTCTTAATGGCTTTATGGTATGCAAAATCTTAGAATAACTGTTGACGGATTTATCATTGTTCAGAAAGTTGTCATCACTTATATGGTGGGGGGGAGGAGGTTAAGTCTTTGTCGTGATGTCATTTTTAAAGTATCCTTTTCACAAAAAGTGTACGAGGTATGGTGAGTATTGATTACACGCCCTTTTTGATTTGTTTATTAGCCAATTGCTTCTCCATAGTATTGTTTTAAAACATTATGCCTTTAACAGTAATACATTTAGTTGCATTTTCTCGTTACCTACTTTTAGGCCCTTGTTTCAATACGTCGTGTTGGTATATTTCTTCTGTCTGATGAGTTAGAGCAATATTCACTGGACAAATCGCCTCATTCATCTGGAAGTATGTATGATAAATTGTTTGTATAACCTTCCTCTATTGTTAGAATAATCATTTTCTGATCAGTTTAGTTTTGATTGCTTCGAATTTTTTGGTCACTTTTTATGCTATCCTTGTTACTTATTTTACAGTAGACTATTGTGAATATGGTGTTGGAGATGCATTGAAAGCATCATTAATTTTTTCAGTGTTTAAGGAGCGACATACATTATATCTATTAATGACGCTTTGTTTATTATTTTCAGATTCATCGGATGCGATCACTTTCGAAAATGCTTCATTTTCATGGACAAAGAGAGGTCCATTAGTGTTAAAAAAGTGAGTCAGCGAATAACGGGGATATATATATATATATATGTATAGGATGATGTGAATCATAATGTAGTTGAGGGTTAATGAGCCTTAATCATGATCCATTTCTGTTATTCGTCTAATTTATACCTTCAGAAAACAGAAATTGAGCGCAAAGTTGTGTTTGTACATTTATTGTCATAATGCTGACCATTCACATTATTACTATTAGTAGTAGTATTGCTTCTTAGGATTCCGAGTGAAACATACGGCTTCAACAATACATCTTCACTTTCTTCTATTTGCTGCTGTCCTATTTAGCTGGGCCCATGATTTCCTATAATTTCTCATCTCCTCCATAACACCTTCAGACGACTCACTCACGCTTCCTATTCGGGTTCCACCCGAGGACCTGGCGCCCGGTCTCATTCGACGGTCCAATCGACTCTTGGTTAGTTTGTTCCTAGAGTTTTTTGTTACTAATTCTTTCTGGCCATTTGATCTTCAATGTGGAGCCAGCCAACGAAAGCGGCAGTTGTTGATAAAAGTCTTCAGTGACCTGTTGGAAGTCCTTTTCGTGACTGACACGCAGTGCAAGTTACTGACCTGTATAGAAGAACTGACTGACCCACTTGACACTGATGTTGAAAATCTGAATCCTGTTGTATATGCTGTGGAGTGCAGAAGATTTCCAAACCAATTTCAGACTGATAAAGGCGTATCTTGCCTTTCCGATTCCAACTGACTGGCTCTGACATCTTCATCTGTGCAGTGTGTCTGCAGTTAAAACAATGCTTCCATTGATGGTGATTGGTGTTGGTTGTAGTTGTTGGTGGTGGTATTTGATTATCTTCATCACCTCCATCTTCTCTAAGTTCACATGGAGTCCTGTCTACTCTGCCAGTGTTTTGCTTTTCGCCTGTAAGTCATCGAGTTTGTGTGACATTAGAAATATATCGTCTGCGAAATCCAGATCTTCTAGAGTCTTCTAATTGGTGAGCGCAGCGTATTTTTGTTGTCTCACTGTCCAAGATCCGAATCATGATCCACTAGAATTAGGAATATCATCAGTGATAATAGGTAGCCAGCCTTGGCTTACTCCTGTATTCACTTCGAAACCTTCGCTGAGTTTTCCGTTGTAGAGCACCTGACACGTAGCACTGTTATATAGCCAGTTGTTGAATGAGGTTGATAAAGATTTGGGGGATTGCACTGTTTTGTGTTGAAGTAGTCTCCAAATTACTTGTCGGTCAACGCTGACAGTCGAAGGCCTTTTCAAAGTCGATGAAGTTGAGGTGGAAGTTTGACTGCCATTTCATGCTTTTTTCGATGATTTTGATGTGGTTTTGTTCTCTGAGCTGGATGGTTAGTTTGCGAAGCTTTCATCACCTTACTGGGTGACATCTTCAGCGCATACTTCAATTTGAAGTGAGCTTTTAGATTTCTCCACGAGTTTATTAATCATCTCTCCTGGTGACCTTGGACGTGATTGGTTGTTTGTGTGTGTTTTCACACCTTCTAGGTTACTTGTATTGGAACCGGTTGTTTCTTTGACTTGAACTTTGACCCTTTGTGTATGAAGTTTCTTTCTTATTGGTTGATAAATTTTGTCTATCTCGATGTGTCTATTGATTGATGATTCACTGGAATGCCAAGCTTCTAAAAATTCTCTAGCATTCTTGTTATTTCCTTTGTCTAATATTTGAACGTTGTCCCAGTCGAATTGATGTCCGTAGTTGTCTGTGTGTAGTGAAATGAGGGAGTGGATATCATGTCTTTTGACGGCTAGCTTATGTTCGTGGATACGAAGACGAAGGGGACGTCCACTTTGGCCGATGTAGTGTTTTTCGCAGTTGTTACAGTTTATTTTGTAGATGATGTTGGTTTTGTCTTCTTTCGCTGTTGAGTCTTTTGGTTGACATAGAATTGAGTGCAGCGACTTTGTTGGTTTGTGTACGACGTCAATTCCTAAAGGTTTGAAGAGTCTTGTAGTGATTTCTGAGATATCTTTTATATATGGTAAGGCAATTTTCTTTGTGCTTTCCTTGGTGGCTTTTGCTTTGGTAGGTTGGCTTGGGGGTATATGTCTCTTGATGAAATTCCGTGGATATCCATTCTTTTGGAAGACGTCCATGAGATACTTTTCTTCAATTTTTCTTAAGGTGGGAGTGCTGCAGTGAGTCCTTGCTCTCTTGAATAGTGTTTGTATGCAATTCCTTTTGTGTGTTATTGGGTTGTTGCTGTTGTAATTCAGTATTTGGTCTGTGTGAGTTGATTTCCTATAAACTTGAGTTTCTAATTCTCCTGTAGTTGTTCGCCTGACTAAGACGTCCAAAAATGGTATTTTGTTCTCGGATTCCTCTTCTCTTGTGAATTTGATGTCGTTGAAGACGTTGTTTATTAAGTTGTGAGTTTTATCTAATTCGTTTCTTTTGATTATTACAAATGTGTCGTCGACGTAGCGTATCCAAATCTTGGGTTTGATCTTTGGTAGAATTATATTTTCGAGTCTTTGCATCACTGCTTCTGCAATCAAACCTGATATTGGCGATCCCATGGGTGTTCCTTTGACTTGTTCATATATTTGGCCGTTGAATTGGAAGTATGTTGTTAGGCATAGATTTATGCATTCCATCCAGCTTGTGTGTTGCATTTTTGATTGTTGTGGCAGTTGTTCGTCGTTGCTAAGTAATTGCTCCATGGTTTCTTTTGCTAGGTTTTGTCCGATGGATGTATATAATGCTGTCACGTCGAATGATACCATTATTTCTTGTTCATCTATTTGGATGCCTCTGATTTTCTCTAGGAATTGGATAGCAGAGTTGATGGAGTGATCACAAGATTCCGTTAGGTGTTTTAGTTTTCTGTATAATTCTTTGGGTAAATTATATGTTGGAGTTCCTGGGAGTGATACAATTGGTCGTAACGGGATATTTGCCTTGTGTATTTTGGGTCTGCCGTAGAATCGAGGTAGGACTGGTCCATTGGATTTCATTCGCCATTGGTCTTGTTTTGTGATCTGTCCAGTTTTGCTGAGCTTGTTTAAGGTCCTTTGGATGCGGTTATCCAATGTTTGTATGGGATTTGTTGGGAGTTGTTGATATACATCTTCATCTTTGAGTAGTTCTTCAGCTTTCTTGGTATATTCTTCTCTGTCCATGACTACTGTTGTTCTTCCTTTGTCGGCTGGTAAAATGACGATGTCCTTCCTATTTTTCAGCTTTTTGAGGGCCTTTAGTTCTTGAGCGTTGAGTTGTGTGTGTTGTCTTTTCTGTTTGACGATGTGTAGAGCTACAATCAGATCTGCACATGATTTTCGTTTCCTGAATCCAGCTTGGTCCAGTGAGTGGCGGAGTCCTGCATTCAGTGCATCTTTTATTCTCTCTACGATGAAGCGACTTAGCATTTTTTGGAGTGGACAAGAGCATTATTGTTCTGGAGGTCGAGGTCGCCCTTCTCTGGCAGCCTGACAAGATAGCCAGCCTTTCTCCTAATCAGTAGGCGTCGTTATTTTCTTTCAAACATTTCGCCAATATGGCACCAGCAAATCCGCTGCAATATCTAGGTTCGTTTTCAGTGCCTAAGAGGGGATTCCATCTCTTTCTCCCACCTTCCTGGAATTCAGTAGCTTCATTTAGTTGAGTCTTTTGAGTTGAATCTTGCTGTCATGATCTTGGATGAAATTGGTTTCTACTGCATCAGGGCTTTAGCCTCCACTGGTGAAATCATGATAGCCACTCCCTCAGTGTCCTAGTGGTTGTCGTCTGGGTGACTGGACTAGGACTACTGAACCTCCAATCGACAATTTGGACAGTCTACATCCAATCTCTCTGCTCTCTCAGATTACAAGCACTTCTATACCGTATTTTCTCATTTGATTGGCTACTTGGAGAGCCTTCGTGTATTGTACGGACATTCCACGTCCTCATTCTTATTCTCACTTTTATTGAGAGAACACACATTGGCTAGCTGGCTTCCCGAAGTTTTTCACGAGACCGCTGTGTCATTTCGCCCCTTCGATTCTTGCAAAGAATAAGTTTGTTCATTGAATTTCTTGAATTTTTAATATATTTCTTGCGCGTTAAAGTCTCTCTAGCAGTTTGATAGCGTTTGTGGTGTAGAGTCGCTAGCCCCACACTTAACCCTCCCTCTTTTCCCGGTCTTGGAACCAGCCAGAAAACTAGTGGCCTAGTAAACCAGGCAAGGTTAAAACGATGTGCACTCTTCCCAAATACGAGCTAGTGAACATCAGAATTACCTTCATGGTGTTGCTATCGTATGAGGGGACTCCCATAGATACAGAGTAATATGCAGGTGATTTTCACACATATTACACAGGTCCTTTATAAAAATAAGCGCAATAATAGATTCATCCTAGATTGATGGATCAGTTCCAACCCTCCACATATTTTAAAACTACTTTATAAAATCCCTGGCTAGGATGCCTGTAGTTTTTTTACGATGATACATAACTAACCTGTCTAGGTAGGATGGTGTACATCGCTTCATCACTTAGAGTTTCTGTTGGACCTGCTCTTCGTCGAGCGAATCTAAATTAATCCACTGTGAACTTAAGTAGGATTAAGCCGGTATTTTAAAAGTGAAAGTTTATTCATCACCGTACTATCTGCTTCATTCACATTCATTTGATGCGTAGTATCGTATCGATAGTGCCTCTGGCGAGCTATAACAACATCCAACTTTTGCCAGATTGAGTTGCAGCTTTTATTTCATTTGAAACCAATGAGCTTTATAATATTATGTAAGTATTGTGCAGTTTTTGCCGGAGAGTCTTAGACTGTTGTATTCGCTTTTCGCCAAATAAGTATGAAGAAATTTCTGGGAGCTCCCAGAAATCCACAGTTTCCGGCGGAGTGTTATTCCAAACTGCAAGAAGTTTCACATGCTGTCTTCATAGCATCTTTTAACTATTGCCAATGTTTGTTTATCCTTCGTGGAGGATCAGCTGCTAAACTTTATCCTGTCCTGGTTGCTATTTAGCAGAACATAATGGGGCAAGTAATTACGTTCATATGCTCAGAAAGACAACTATGATCGTCTTCAAAACACATGACAAACCCAGCATAACCAAAGACGAGAAAAGTACTTCAGAAAGATCGATAGTTCTGTATGTATTCTTGCTGTTGGTCATTACTCGCAATATTATCCGTTTTAGGACAGTTTTAAGCAGCAGAAGCAGGTAGTGTCACAGTGATAACTGTATCTGGATTTGTTGCTAGTCAGATTTAAGTCACGTTCTTTAGAAAGCTTCACTATTTCAGTCTTCAATCTAAAAATCTCATGAACTTGGATGGTCAACTTGTGCATTCAAGTCTCTAGCTAACACTGCCGTGTCCGTCGAGAGCACTCGATTGAATTCTCTCAGTTTATGTTTTGTTGCTTACTCCCAGTTACAAGTACTTACTAACTTGTTGAAAAGGACAGCAGTTTGTTGACCAGTTAGTACTTTTATCAACGTAAACTTCTAGTTTAACAACACACTATTGCAATAGAATAGTGTAGCCTCACATTTAAACACTTAGTGAGATACTGACACCCGCTAACCTGGATACTTATGCTGCAGTGTTTTCAGATGATCAGCTTTTTGAACTGTCATATGATACTTCATAAGGATCTTGTATATAGATTTCTAAGGTTTTGAGGTCTGCAAGGTTCCTACCTAACCTCTTTATATTCTGATTTTTGGATGATGGTACGAAAGTTATCATTAGAGGCTATAAAGAATACATACTAACTGATGACTTGTGTCAAATATTTCACAGGAGAATGATTTCATGAATGCAGCTATTTTGTAACTCAAAACAGAATAAGTTTTTGAATCACCTTATCGACACTTGGAGGTTGAAGAATGAAATCGGTATGATCGGAATACATTAAACGTTATGAGGAAAAGTAGAAAACAGAAATTATATAAGGAAGTCCGTTAGTGCAATTAAGCTAAAGATGATTAATTATCACGCATGTTCTATTGTAGCTGATTCTTAGCTATGTCGTGTAGTATTCATCCATTGGTATTTTCGCCGGCCAATACGTTTCTTCCTATCAGTTCTATCATTCCCTTGCTTTACGAGTAAAATGTGGTTCTTCGAGCTATGAGCGGTGGTGTTTGTATGGGGTTACCAGCCTCAAGCCTGACCTCATAAACTGGGTGAGGTTTAGAAGTACTTCACCTGGAATCGAACGAGGATCACTTACATGACTGGTGGTCATTGTATTATTGAACTACTGACACACACTTCTTTATATGATTATAAGTAATAAATTGTGCTCGGACCTCTATGATCGTGTGGCATATCAGATGAATTTATCCATTATGTGGTCGTATGGGTCAGCCACCATATCTTCTGTTGGGTATTTTGTAACTTCGATTCATACTGCTACCGTGATGTCGTATGATGTACATTTCGAAAATTAATATTACCCCATAGAAACTTGAAAGAGAGCTAATTTACAGGAAGTGTTTTTTTCTCTGTTCTTGAAGTTCCTAAATTTAAACTCACAAGCAAACAACTAGCCTACTGTCGTTTATTTGAACATTTTTCTGTCAAGATAACGTCATCAGCTGGTACACATAAATGAGACACAACTTCTTGATTTCGGAATCGACTGAATGACTGACATTCCTTCTTGGTGATATATTCACAAGTGTCTCCATGTTTGATAGGATATACTATGCAACTAGAGATGATGCAAATTTTATTTTCATTAACATTTAATTTAATAACTCTTATGCATAATACAAAAAAATCTTTCCTATAACATTTTAATAGTTTAAACGTACGCATTTCTCGAGGATGGCTTGTTGCTATTGTCGGCAGTGTGGGTTCTGGCAAGTCATCTTTCCTGTCAGCTTGTCTGCACGATATGTTTAAGAAAAGTGGATCAGTTTCCGTTAAGGTTTGTGAATATATATTTATATGCATATATTTCATATACATCTTGTAGTAGTGATGTTAATTAGGTTTTCTCTGGTGATTTTTCATATTTATCGGTTTCTGAGCTAAAATTAAATTTGATTAGTGCATTTCTTTTTAAAATTGTACTTTTTACGTCGTTATGTCAACGAGTTATTCTTCCTATTAAACAAGATATTGTCTCTTCACTTTCTGAATACGACATTAGATAAAAAAATCTATCAATTCAAGTATGTACATTAATATACAATGGGGTGAGACAGGGCCAAAGTTCAAATAAGTATTCTTGCTACATAGAGGTGATGGTTGAATACAGAATCCGTGTTTATTGAACCCGCACCGAACACCTACAATAGGTAGGACGTCAAATCAATACCGGGAATAGGGAAAAATTCTATCATGAATAAAATCAGAGGGTAAGAAATAATGGAACTACATGAACGAAATCTGAAAGTTATGCAGGCATCGTGATATGAGCAATAAATTGTGCTTGAAACGTCATCAGTTAATAAATTATGCTGTATTACTTTATTCGTTTTATTAAATAAAATTATTCTTTGCAACAATTAGCTCCTTGTATGAATTTGAAAAAAGCCATGAGAAGACGTTGTTTTTATTTTTTTATTTTGATTCCACACCGTATTTTCGGTACAAGTATGGAATTTTCAGCATGTGATATTGGTAGCCCAAATTTGTCAGGCTGACCATAGATATCAAGTGTGCATCGGCAGGGAATCGAATCCCGGACCATGTGCATGGTCGGCGAGAGTCCTAACCATTGTACCACCGACGCACATGTGATTTATTTGCGCAACACATGTCGAACCATTTGATCACATACATAGATGTATAAATGAAAATAAAGAGTTAGTGGGGTGAGAAAATTGACTTAGGTCAAGTTAAAAGGACATGCTGAGGGTCAAAATAACAATGATCACTAAACCAAATAAAGGAGGTAATAGTAAAAGAAAATGGTACATCTACTGTGGCATCAAAACAAGGAAGGTTTAGTTATCTTGGTAAACTTTCCTGTAAGATTATTCTGTTATTGAATTCATATGCTTCATTCACTATTTATTTTGGTACATGAAAAGCTATGTTTGATTATAGTATATAAATTTGACAACCATGTGTGTACATTCAAGCTTCGACACACAGTAAATGCATGTATTCATGTCATCAAATAAAATTATAATCCGTTCAAAAGTTAAACTAACACAGGCATTTTGTTTACTTTAACTACCGTGAGTTATTATTATTATTATTACTAACACTACTGCTATTATTTTATTCTTATGATCAAAACAGTCAAAACCATCGTCCCTATTAGAATAATTTATTTGATGTATATGTTACATTAACTTACTAATAATTACCGACTTTTATTACAAGCATAATGTAAGCTGCCCTCATTAAAGCCGTGCAGAATGTGTGTTTCTGTCTGTCTGTTTTCGGCATAGAACTTTGAACATATCTGCGGCACTTCAAGTCGCCACACTCCCTCTTCGTAGCACGCAAAGCAAGAGAAGAAGGTAGAAGAAATGCATAATAGAGGCAGTAATCAGAGGTGTGAGACAAAGGAGGAGTAATAACGAAGAACAAAACAGTTTCATTGGAAATCATAAGTCACAAGGAGTGGATGCATCTGCGCTATGCATTCAGAACGATTTGGAGCCATGTCACCAATAGTTTCCAACCATTGGTTTTTACCGTCCCGAGGACCCCAACCAGTCAGGAAGTCTACACCTTCCTACGTGGCTGGCTTAAACTAACTGTTGTAGATTTCATTGACTGGTGCCATGTTTTTGTTTGACCTCCACTAGCTCTTTTCCAGCCTGACCCTATATCAGCTAACATTACCCGTCGAGGAAGGCGATGACTAGGCATGCATAGGTAACACATGTCCTAACCATCTCAATCTGTGTAACTTCACAACCTCGTCGATTGATTTCTTCTGTTTACTTAGCACTCGACCGACGCCTAATCTCAATATTGCTCACATTATTTTACCACTTCACACGGGAGATAGAACGGAGGCACCTATGATCAAAGACAGCTAATCTTTTCATGTCTTCCACCCTCAGCAGCCAGGTCTCACAGCCGGCCATAAAGGAGGACGGAGCGGACTGATGAGCAGTACATCCGCCCTTTGGTCGATAGTCGGATATCTCGTCTACGCCAGAGTCGGCGTAAACTGGGATATGCGAAACTAGCCCTCTGTACCCGTGTTGAGATTTCGTCAGAGATCAACTCGTCGGCACTGGCTGATGGTACTTCTTAAATAAGTGAAGCGGTCAACGTGCTCTACCACTTCACTTCCTACTTCTAAACTAGGAGTCAATGTAGTCTAGTCCTGTAGCATCATCTTGCATTTGGCGGGAGCGAATCGCATGCCAAACATTCGTAGATTGCAGCTCAATGTGTTCAGAAAACTCTGCATCTTGTCAGCGTCTTCGCCTAGAAGGACTATATCGTCTGCATATTCCAAGTCAACGAGATTATTCCCTGGTAACAAGTCAATCCCTGAGTCGCTGAAGTCACCTAGGGTTAAGTCCATTAACACATCTATGATGAAGTTGAATAGAAAAGGGGATAATGGGCATCCTTGACGGACACCACTAGTCGTCACCAGTTCAGATGACAGCTCGCCGTAAGCCCTCACCTGGCTGTATGAGTACGAGTAGAGTGCCTTAATCAGTGCAATATATTTTCTCGGGATTCCTTTTACAGCCAAGCATCTCCAGAGAACTTCCCGATCGACAGAGTCGAAAGCTGCCTTTAGGTCAAGAAATGTAATGACTGTTGGACGCCGGTAGGAATGCCTATGTTCTAGAATCTGTCGGAGGGTGAAGATATGATCAATACACCCTCTTCCTGGTCTAAAGCCTGCCTGGGCCTCTCGTGTTTGTGCCTACCGAGCACCACTCAGTGTACGCATGATTATTGAGTCTAGGACTTTAGATACTATATTAGTCAAGCTAATCCCTCTGTGATTATCACAGGAAGACTCGTCTCCCTTCTTGTATATGGGGATAATCAGTGACTTACACCAACCCGATGGGACTTCTTCTGATTCCCAGACGCTTCCTAGTACCTCAGTTAATCCAGACAGTAATCTGTCTTCACCGTACTTAAATACCTCTGGAGTCATTCCATCAGGTCCCGCTGCTTTGCCTAGTTTCAGATTGGTGACAGCTTTAGTAACTTCAGTCAGGGATGGAGGACCTGTGTCTATATCCCATTCAGGAAGGTGTTGGATGTTCGGAAGGTTGAGCGTGGCTGTGGGTCAATTAAACTGCTCCTCATAATGCTCTTTCCAGCGTTCCAGTCGTCTATCCTGGGAGCTAATTATTGTGCCATTTTTCTCCGAGATGGTTTCACTTATGATTTGCCTTTTGCCACCCATTTCCCTGATGACTCTAAATAGTTGCCTGGTGTTGCCTATCGCCGATGCTTTTTCCATCTCTTTCGCCTTTGTCACCCACCACTGTTCACGGTCCTTGCGGAGACTTTTCGTAAGTTTCCTTTTGTGCAGCTTTCGCTCCTCATTGAATTCGGAGCTCGCCGGAATAAGTCTTCTAGCATCTATTAGTTCGGATGACGCAGTCGAAATCCAATGGTTTTTACTCACCTTTGGATTTACCTTGTTCACAGCTTTTACAGCTGTATCTATGGCTGACTGAATGTTCTTCCAAGCTTCTTCAGGGTGAGCACAGCTGTCGAACACAGATATGTGTTTAGCTAGTTCTTCCTCAAATGGGGATTTAGTTTCCTGATCGAGCTGAGGACGTGATGGGTTTACCGCCAGCTGTTTCCTACGTCCGTTCAGTCGTAAGCACACACGAGCGCGGACCAGTGCGTGATCGGTATCTACGCACGTGTTCCAGAAGGAGCGACAATCTCCTACCGACCCACGCCAACGATAGCTTATTGCTATGTGGTCTATTTGTGTCCAGCGTTGGTTTGATGAAGGGGGTCGCCAGGTCAAACAGTGTCTCTCCTTGTGTTTAAAGTTAGTGCTTACAAGAAACAAATGATTATCAGAACAGAACTGTAGGAGACGGTCACCGTTGTCTGTTCGCTGGCACTGAACTCCATAGGTGCCACCGACATCCTACTCAGATTGACACAATTTCCCTACTTGAGCATTAAAGTCGCCAGCTAGAACGACTATATCTGAGCGTTTAGCCTTTCGCAGCAAACTAGACAGCTTTCGGTAGAACTAATCCTTCGTTTAATCCGAACTGCCGAATGTGTGTTTATAAACTATTTCGATAATTAAGACATTTGGAAACATGCATTTACAATTTACACTGTTAACATCAAGAAAATTTTCCATATTAGGTGCTTTTATTTTCAATATAGCGTACAACGGTGCAGCGTTTTGGGTACAGTTAATAATCTACAATGATGGAATTTTAACATTTGGCTTTATACTTCTTCTTTGATTTCATGGATAGCATAACTTAATTTTATATCCTCTGAGTAGTCATCCCATCCAACCTATAAAGTATTGAATCGATATATGTCTCATTAGACGGAAGTGGTGTAATAATCAACTTCGGAAATATGAAGATTTCAGTTACAAGTACCATACACAGCTTGAACTAATAGAAAATTATGACCTCGAAGCACTCACAACTACTGATTATGAATTAATAATAACAATAATAATAAAACTATATATCATTTTGAAGTTGTTAAAATTGATGCACCAGAGAAAGGAGAACTGTAATTGTAACTTTGTACTGCTGCTAAATACAAAAATGAACCAGACACAATATCCTTTGGACAGTCTAGTTTTTTCAGCTTCAGCATAACCAGACATGCATTTTGTATAGGCTTAGTATAAACTGTACTATTATATAACCAAGAGGATTCTATGTGAAAATATTTGTTCATCATATATCGAAATACTAGGTAAAAAACTAATTGCAGATTTAAGTGTTATTCATATTAATTGATGTATGTTTTTGAATATCTATGCAAATCCTTACAAGAACATGTATACTCTTTGGATTCCATGTTCTAAGCAAAAATGTCTTTCGAATACTTTGTGTTTCAAATGAATCCAAAATAGAAAGTAAATGCTCATACAATTTGTTGATTTCGATTTCGTAATCTTTTTGGGTTACAGGATTTCATCGTGAGCTGACATTGATTAGAGAATCATTGGAAAACCTGGGAATACTGGGCAGCTGTTTCGTCCTGATTTGGGACTCTTCGAACTCCGATGGGTGCGCACTGATGAAGAGTCCCTAATCAGTACGAAACAGCTGTCCAGTATTCCCAAGTTTTCCAATGCTTCTCTAACTTATGTCAGCTCATGATGAAATCCTGTAACCAATCAAATCCCTACAAACCAACACTTGATAATTTTTATTTGTCGTCTCTATCCTATCATTAATATTGAATTTCATAGTGATCTAGAATTTCGTATGATTATTAATGGAAGTAGTTTTATACAATGTACATTTTCCTTTTCATTAGGGTTCAGTCGCTTATGTCTCCCAGGCAGCCTGGATACAACAACAATCCCTGCGAGACAATATTCGTTTTATCACATCTACGGAAATTCAATCTAATCCTGTTGCAGAACAAATGGAAGAATTGTGGTATAAAAATGTTGTCTCTGCATGTGCACTTGAAGCAGATATAGCTCATCTACCCGGTGGTGATAAAACAGAAATTGGAGAGAAAGGCGTTAATTTGTCTGGTGGTCAGAAGCAACGTGTCACCCTAGCTAGAGCTGTTTATCAGGTAGTGTAACGTTTTGTTGTGTTTTTCTTCTATAATCGTTTGTTTTACATAGGGCAGTTTGTCTTCTTCACTAATGATTCTAGACTTTTTTAAATGTGTTTATAATAATACTTACTTGATTTAGGGACTACGTAAATCCTGTTGATACCAGTTTTCATCATATTTTTTCGTGTTAGCTGTGAATGAATTTACCTTTTCAGGCTTTGCTTAACTTAGTGATAAATGTTTTGTGTAATAACATTAAAGAACACTGTTTTAAATATGCTTGATTCGAACTATTTAAGTTTATTTCAAGCTGAGTTTTATGGTGAACTGACGACATCTAGAAGAGTCATTGTGAACTATGAGTGTTTAGGAAATTGTCTCATCAAAGACTGCAAATTTTCATTATTTCACACCGGCTATCCTGAAGAGAATCGAGTCATAAATCATAAGGTTTCCTGTTGAGTGCACTTCCAGTTGCTTATGGCTTAACTTCTGGAATTATGATGTCACCCATATTCGATATCACACAGTCATGTATGCATCGAATTAAGATAAACGACTGGTCTGTTGCCCTCTATTGGCGAATTCATGAATTGTTAGTTTCACTATTGGCCTAAAATTGAAATCTGTGTATTGTAATTTGGTTGAGAAAGCTGAGAATGGTCGGACTGAAATATTTCACCAAAACATAAAGTCTATATGGCTGGCGTTTCAACGCTGTGTATCTGGGACTCTGAAGATGTTAAGATGCAATAATTAAAGACTTGGTATTATAAATATGTATTATGAATACGCTTGGGGTATTTATTATCTTCAAAATTCATAGCATCCTTTTCACCAATGCTCATATAATTACTCTCTCTTCGATTCCTAAGTTTTGTTTATCCATTGTAGTATCACGTCGTTCTACTTTGATATTCTGCATTTTGTTGAAATGTGGGAATTTGAACTGAACTGTTAGGATTTTTGTCTTGTGATCTATTATTCAGTAATTAGAATTGTAATCTGGAAAAAGTTTAAATTTTAAGTTGACCTAATTTCATTCGATGTATCTTGGCTTATCAGATTTTCGGGAGTACACTATCCACTATTCACTAAAGTCAATTACAGTTTTGTAAATGTCTTCATGTCGTCTCGCTGTGATGATGATAATGACAACTTTAACTGTTGCACCTTAATCTTTGTTCATATCATGACGTTTCTTGAAAGAATAGTGTATGTACTCGGCTCTCGAACTACTCATGATTATACTGCTATGATGGCTTATTAGCCATAGTTTTCAGTTTATAGCCGTAAAACTTGGATAGTACTAAGATTATATTGCGAAATTTATGTTCAATGTTCAGTTAATTGAAGGATGTTTGAATAGCTGCGATTATTACTATGATTATTGGTTTAGTGTAAAGACAGTGGACACTGTTAAATACTTACAAAACTGTTGTTTTTTCGAAAAAAACTCTTCTGTAACAATGTGTGGTCTGAAGTTTTCAACATAATTTATACTTTGATTGTATGTCTGCTTTAGTAAGTATTACAGTAACCCATTTGCAATTTGTGTTTTATTCACAATGTAGTCAGACCCAGCTATTATTATATGGTTAAGAAAAATTATACTTATAGGAAACTTCAAATTTCATGTGAGTAGTGTACACCCACAGGTTCACCTATGCGTGATAAGTTGTAGGTAATAATTATTTGAAATAACAGAAATAATGATATATTTTTTCAGGCATGTTTTTATAGAATGCGTTGATCACATAATACTAGTTTGTTGTTTAATATTTCGTATGGTGTTTTTCAGAATATAAGAAGACATATATTTAACTTTGGTGAATATGTAACGGGAAATGACAACAATAACAGTAAAAATTAAAAATAATAATAATACGGTGTTTCCTACAACTCTTAGAATTTTTTCTTCTAATGGCTACTACTACTACTACTTCAGGGCGCAGGAAAATCCACTTTGTTATAAGACATGGCTACATTACTCCTCACTTGGTAAATGTTTGGACAATTAAAAAAATCATAATAAGTTGTATGATACAATGATACCAGCTATAGAACCATTGATAATCAGGAAGTTCTGTTTTGACTTGTCTAGGGGTTCTTCAGTGCTAAGTGTCTATGACTCTCCCTCGGTGATTGAATCCATTACCTTCAAGTTACTAGGCTAGCTGGTTGAACATTCACCCACTATAATGGAATCTGCTGACTTATGAATGCTGACCTCAGCGAATTCATGATACATAACAGTACCACCGACCAGTAGCATCAGCCATTGTTCGTCCTTATGGACTATTGCATTTCATCCTATTACTTTGAATAAAGAAAGAACGAATATATTTGCAGGATAATGTGATCTCGTCTTATTTCGTCGGATCTCTTCAACTGTGTACATCCTAAATAAATCAATCATAGCACATTACATAATTTCTGAACATACTTTTTACAATGACTTCAAGTTATAGATAGATAGAAAGTATGAGCAGCATAATTTCAAAGATGATGTAAGTAGACAGTTATGTAGTGTTAAGAGAAGTGAATATTTATATACTAGTTAGACAAGGGAGTAAAGTTCAGACTTCTCTTGGATACAAGGATGGGCTAGAGACAAAATACAAGATAGAACAACAGAGTTAATTTATGCACATTATTATTGAGAGTTCAGTTGTTCCATCGTGTTTTTTGTCTCCAGTCCATCCTTGTATCTAAGAGAAATCTGAACTTTACCCCCTTGTCTAATTAGTATATAAGTAGTCACTTTTTTTAACACTACATAACTATCTACTTACATCATCTTTGAAATTATGCTGCTCATACTTTCTATCTATCTATAACTTGAAGTCATTGTAAAAAGTATGTTCAGAAATTATGTAATGTGCTATGATTGATTTATTTAGGATGTACACAGTTGAAGAGAATCCACGAAATAAGGCGAGATCGCATTATCCTGCAAATATCTTCGTCCTTCCTTCAATCAAACTAATAAAGGGGAAAGTCCATATGAAATCCTCATTCTATTAGTTGAATGGTTATCGGGCTCACCTCGCAGTATGAAAGTAGTGGGTTCGGTCCCCCCTAGTGACATACGTGTAAACTACCGAAGAGTGCCGGATTGGGACGAGATGACTGTCCACTATTTCCTTGTTTTCGGTGATTCTCTAGTTGGTGTCAGTTCATGATCAGGCCTTTGTATACCAATACTTAAAAATTATAACTCATATAGCGGAATCTTTTTTCACAGAATCTTATATGTTATTGAAAAAATCCATTGTTCTTTTGGAGACAGTATGCAAAAGATCCTGTAAAGTGACTGAAACAGCTGTCTGATACCACTACGTTAGGTCAGCGCAGTCGTTAGGTAGCATAAAAATGTAATTAAGATCAACTAGCAGTAGATCTTAAAGCATGCAACAATATGTGGGGACTTTCGGTCAGGTCAGTAGCAAACTTTTTGGATCTATATTAAATCCCAGTAGATGGAAATGGACATAACAACAAGTGAGTTTCAGCAGTATATGTTGAAGGATTGCTTGTAGTTATATTGTCACTGTTTGCATGCATTTGTCTTATCATTGGGGATTGTTTGGTCACTTAATTAGTCAAAACCTACTACAGAGTGTGTAGTTCATCCTTACTGTGAATAACATTAAAAAGCAAGCATTTACAATACACCACGTACTGCACAGGAAATGGCTGAAATCCGTATTCAGAGATCCTGCATATAAAATTTTCTTACACCTTTTTGTCGGAACGCATTTAGTGTTTTACCAGCGTGAGTATGGCAGTCTTTAAGCTTTTTTCATTTACCACGTCTGTGTTACTCTCATCTAAACGAGAGATACTTTGAGAATAGGTTAGTATATCTGGGCTATAATACCGACTGATGTAATTAACTATTTTTAATTTCTACAGCCAGTGTATTTTAATGAAACCTTTATTCCATGTTATGTCTTGTTCAAGTTAATTAAACTGAACTTTCATTCTTTACCATATTTAGGTACTTTGTTGATATTCTGTTTCTATTTTCTTATCAGCGTTCTGATATTTATCTGCTGGATGATCCATTATCTGCAGTAGATACTCATGTTGGCAAACACTTATTTGATCAAGTTCTAGGACCAAAAGGTCTATTGAAAGATAAAACTCGAATCATCACTACTAATTCATTTCATTGGTTGAGTTCAGCTGATTGGATTATTGTACTTAATAAAAATGGTGAAATTACTCAGTCTGGAACTTACGATGTAAGTTAACCGCACTTATGTGTGAGAATGTATTTTCGCACCAGTTGGAATATGTATCTGTTTTATTATTTATAGTAGATAGGCTGACTTGATTTCAGTAAATGTGCTGTGGATAACATATATATATATATATATATATATGTCATGGGCATACTACACAACGATTGAACTACAAGCCTCAATTTCTATACTAGGTATATTCAAGCGTAAATGAGTAATTTTGTCAAACATGACATGTAGGTATTTGACAAAGGTTGAACTTTTGAGCGGCAGTTTAAAACCACCAGTTATATGAAATAAACAGAACTTTCGGTTGGTATAATCAAACTAAATTATGTAGTGGATATTTTGAAGACTAAGCACTAATATACATATTTTAAAAGCCTGTCAACTGAGTTGATAACCTTCCTTGGGTTAATTTTTCTTTTCTGAAAGGTAATGTATCATATCTTAATCTTTCAGCATATCTAGTTGCAGTCTAATTATATCATCATACCGTTCTGTGAAAACTCACTGTTCCTTTATAGCGTATGCATGAATTTACCCGTCCCAAATGGTACCATTTCAAGTGAATTGGCAATTGTTTTCAGTTATTTGCAGACATTCTTATTCAGGCTACAGGTTTTCTAATTAGATGCAAATTGACTACTTTCTTTTGTCGATAGAACTTAGAAGATAAGAAAGAAGTGTTGAGGAATAACAATGTAAACTTCGCGTTTTTGTGCAGTTAGATTTCATTGGTAAATCCATAATGCTCTTCTTCATAGTGTGTCATTTACATGTCTAACGATAACATTGCTATCTCATACATTTATTCCCCTTAATGAATTTGAACAAAGCAAAAACTACAGTTTTTGCAGAATATAGTGCTGCCATCATTTATTTCTTTGGCTTATCATCAGCTGCTTACAGGCTAAAGACATTATTAAATATATCTACAACAACAATTTTAACATACTTGCACAGAGTGCATTTTAAACAAAAATCAATCGATCAATATACTCATACACTAAAAATATATACATATATAAATATGCAATATTAACCACTATTCCGAACAACAATAATAATCAAACACAATGGAAACTTTTAGCATTTCAGATTCGGAGGAAAGAGAGGTGAAGTTATCCAGTTACCAGGGTAAAGAAAGACTGATAACCGCTTCTTTCTGGACGCATAAATCAGGTTTCAGGCGCTTGATGGGAATGGCTTCAGCAAACTTAAGGAGAATTGAGCTATTTTGCTTATTGATAATTTTGAACGACTTTTCAACGTCCACCTCATGACCCGTGTCGAGGAGATGCCTGGTGATGGCACTGTTTAAAGCATTTGTTCCCTTTAAACAGTGCCATCACCAGGCATCTCCTCGACACGGGTCATGAGGTGGACGTTGAAAAGTCGTTCAAAATTATCAATAAGCAAAATAGCTCAATTCTCCTTAAGTTTGCTGAAGCCATTTCCATCAAGCGCCTGAAACCTGATTTATGCGTCCAGAAAGAAGCGGTTATCAGTCTTTCTTTACCCTGGTAACTGGATAACTTCACCTCTCTTTCCTCCGAATGTGAAATGCTAAAAGTTTCCATTGTGTTTGATTATTATTGTTGTTCGGAATAGTGGTTAATATTGCATATTTATATATGTATATATTTTTAGTGTATGAGTATATTGATCGATTGATTTTTGTTTAAAATGCACTCTGTGCAAGTATGTTAAAATTGTTGTTGTAGATATATTTAATAATGTCTTTAGCCTGTAAGCAGCTGATGATAAGCCAAAGAAATAAATGATGACAGCACTATATTCTGCAAAAACTGTAGTTTTTGTTTTGTTCAAACATTACTATCTGTTTGGTTTTACGCTTTCCAACATCTGTTCCTTTTGTCTTCCTTAGGAGGTCGTTAACGATAAGTCTAGTCACTTTGTCGATTACTTGCATACTATCGAGAAAGAAAAGTTGTCGGACAAATCAGGTAACTCGTGATGTTTATGTTTATTATTAATTTTCTTATCATGCGTATCTGGGGTAAATTTTGAAAGTGTGCCCCCATAATGAATACTTATACCTAGTTTATAGCTATTTAGGATTATTTTAAACACAAAATCACTGGTAAAATATGGCACCAAAAAGATGCTCCACACAATAATAATAAAACAACATCCATTACAAGTAAAAATATAGGCAGAGAACGGATGAAGTACTTCATTTGGGAGGAAAGCAGTCATATTTAACAAGTTCAAACAGCATTCGTCAAGTATTGTTGGAAAGGGAGGGAAGAAGGAGATTGCGACACGTTCTCTATTGATTGAGATTCTTGTCCATATCTGATAACGTTTAAGCCACTGATTCGAGCTATCTCTCGGACTCCAACCAGGGAGTCGTGATGCACCACCTATGCTAACCTAAAACAAATATCCTTTATCCCACGATACCATGTCATCGGCTGACCACCTCTCCTCGATTTTCCATCCTGTCGCAAGACTGGCTAACGGAGACCTGTACGGAAGCCTCTGGGATGACATTTACAGCTCATGTCCAAGCCACCGGTGTTTCCAGATGAAAACACTCATGGACTGGTTATCTCCACTGTGTCCAAATACACATAGACCTCAGAATTACTCACGTGATAATGCCATTGAACTCAAGCAATCCTGTGGAGACAGCAATGATCAAATACTCAGAGTCGCTGCACATTCTCAGCTCGAAGAGAACAGGTTTCACAGGCGTAGAACAAGACTGCGCGCACCAAAGCATTGTAAACCTGACCTTCGACAGCCAGACTAACGTCGCGACGGCGCCAGAGGTGGCTAAAGTTAACGTATGCCACTCTAGCTTTCATGAAACGGTTGGAAATCCCATCCGTCACCCCTACGCCAGCATTCAAACAATTACCTAGATCCCCACTTCACCAGCAATAGTGAGTGCAGGTACAGGCTTCTGCCAATCTTGTAACAGTACTTTGCACTTAGACGGCGCGAAGCACGAACCATACTTACAGACACTGATCGCCAACTGATTAAGTGCGATTTGGGCAGCCTGCATGCTATCGCACAATCAGAAAATATCGTCTGTATACTTGAGGTTGAGAAGTCTCTTTTCAGGGAGCAGATCTACACCACCTTCACACACATCCTTCAGAAGCGACTCTAGAATGTTATCGATGGCAAAGTTAAAGAGAAATGGGGAGATTGGGTAACCCTGTCTAACTCCACTGTTGGTTGGGAATAGTAATGATAGTTAGTTGTATGCTCTCACTCTACCTGTATAAGGCTTTCATGGTGTACAAAAATTTTCAAGTACAGTCCTCTCTAACAAACAGTTTCAGAGAACAGTTCTTTCCAACGAATCGAAGGCGGCACTAATATCAAGAAACACAACTATTGTTGGTCTGCAATACGTGTGGCGATGTTCCAACATCTGACGAAGGGTGAACACATGATTAATGCAGCCATCGTTTGAACGGAACTCAGCCTCCTCTTCGCGAATCAGTCCTTTACGTGTTTTGCACAGTCTCCTAAGCAAGACAGCAGCCAGTATTTTACACACAACTGGTGGCAGGCTGATCCCCCTACGGTTGTCACACGAGCTACGGCGACCCTTTTTAAAGATAAAGGCGATAATGATTTTGTTCCACATTGATGGTACACTCTGTCTCCCATACCTTCCTAAATAAACCAGTTAGAGCCATTGCAAGAGTCTCTCCACCATCTTTAAAAAGAGCAAGGGATAGATTGTCTGGGCCGTGTGCCTTGTGGTGTTTCAGTACTTGGAGTTCCTTCCAAACCTCCGCTGCGGTTGGTGGGGCGGCACTGACCAACCAAGGAGCACTGCAGGTGGTAACGGTAGATATTGGATCTGATGACTGGCTAAACTGCTTCTTGAAACCCTCTTCCTAGCGTTCCAGGCCGGTGATTGACGCACCATCTGCGTGACACCTTGTGTCTTGCTGCAGGTGCCTCGGATGAGCTGGAACAGCTTCCGATTGTTGCTGGATGCAGCTGCTGACTCCATCTCACATGTACGTTCTGACCATCAGGTTTCGCGGTTTTCACGCAAACATTGTTTAGTCTCGCGCGTAATGCATGTGTCGCATGTTGTTGTACTCGCTGCCTGTGGGAATGGATCGGCGTTCATCCAGGAGTTGCAAGGAAATTGTAGAAACCCAACAGTTTTTAACGGAGCATTCTTTTACGCCACAAGCGGCTACACTCGCCAATGTTCATCTATACTACTTGAGTGGTTGCTAGCAATCATTGATTGTAACTCATTCTGGTATTTCAAAGAGTTGTCAGGTTCTAGCAGTTTGCTCATATAAACATTCAGATGACGACGTTTATGAACCCCACCAAATCGCAAGAAAAACCTAGGACACACTGAAGCATGATCGGAGTCCAGGCATGTGCTTCAGATGGAGTGGCAGTCTTGTATGCATACTCGCCACTTTGGTGTGATTAATCTGAGTCCAAGCTTGATTCCCAGAGGGAAGACACCAGGTAGCGCTACGGCGATGGTTGTGCCGGAAGTTGTTGCTGGTCAGAAATAGGTTGTGATCCGCGCAAACTGCAGAAGACGGTCCCCATTATCTGACCTGTGACCATGTAGGCCCTATTGACCACCTACACGATTCTCCTCTGAGCTCAAACGCCCGACTTGTGCATTCAAGTCCCTAGCCAGCACTACGATATCCCTCCGACCCGCCTTCTTCAAGAGATCGCTAAGTTGGTAGTAGAACTCATCCTTCATTGCATCCGGACCTCAATCCGTCGGTGTAAAAGCAGAGACAACAAATAGATACCGCTTATCTGGCCTACCACTCCTTAATTTCGTATAACCTTCAAGCCTCATATCATATAAGCGACTGTTGATGGGGATCCAGTCGAGTAATGCAGCTTCGGCTCTAGCGCTTAGTGCGACACCGACACCATTGGCAAGTGCAGGTGGTACATACTGTTCGAACTTTCACATGGAGAGGATAATCGAAGCACTTCATTGGGATCTTGAGTGCGGGTCTCCGAAGTGCAGCAAACATCGATAGCGAGGCTTTCCACTGTTCTTACCAAATTAGTCTGTTGACCGGTTTGTATCAGTGTCCGAGCATTGTAGGTGGCCAGCTTGAACGCGGCACGCGGTTTCAGGATATTTGTGTTTGGTTTCGCACTGAGGACAATCATTTTGAAGGCTACTCTTTAACATCCTGAAACAGCACAGGTATGCTGGGAATTCAGACAAAGACGAAAGTAAAGGCGTCAAGGATAGCAAAAGTAAAACACAGGAGTCTTTGTATAAAAATAAAAATGAGGTTGAAAAGAGATGCGTCACTTGAAGCATCGTTAATGTTCGAGAACATCGTTGAGAGCGTGAGATTAGTTTTACCGACAGTTTTATTGTTTCATCTTGTTGATTGTGTGAAGACTGAGACACTGCCCAGTTGCCCAGACCGAAGCAAGTGGTTGTCTTAAGGGACCCTCCTACAAGCCTTTTAACTGGAGTCTAATCCGCAGTGCAACGGAGCGGAGTCAGGAGCTACGTTCCCATGGTTGCCGCTAACCAATACAGGTTCATACATCATTTGATTCGATTGGATTCTAGAGCCTTTGTTCGCCGTAGTAACCGCTATCCAACAACCTACATGACATGGTAAGACCTACAGAGATATGAGTCCCACCCAGTTTAGCTTGTCGGGTCACTGCGGTATTCAAGCCCGACTACTAAGACAAGGTAGCAGTTGTCGGATGGGTCAAAATAATATTACCGAATATTTCATAGATGTAGTTATCTGAAATGATATTTCGTCGTATAAAGTTTTCAATTTACAAGTATCTATCTGTAAACGAAAGTTAGTTGAGCTCTTCACTACATATTATGAAATTCTCTACCTTTTACCTCCGTTTTTCCTAATTTTTATTCGATTGTAAATGATAGAGTGCAAGATTCCATGATTTTAAAGAATTTACGGTCATCATTAGTTTGATAATATGAGGCCGCATGTGTAGAGTATTCGTTTTGTATATCCCTCTTCCTAACATGTATAGAAAACTAATAACGCATTAATGGAAGCCTGTATTCCTCTGCCTTCATTTCCTTAGATGTTTCCGGAAAATCACCATCTTCATCACAGAGAAAACACTCACTTACAGCTACTTTTAGCAGATCAAGTAGTGTGGCTATAGTAAGTCAGTCATTGTTATTTTGGGTTTATTGCTGTCTGTGATTGGTGGTTTGCATATATATATATATATATATATATATATGCTTGCCATTCCTACCACTTAGTGGATTTGTTACCGGGATATTTCAGTTTCAATAACTGATATCAATGTCTACCAATGTAGCTACACTATTAAATACGTGCTGGAATAGTATCGCATTAAATGGCTGTTTGTACTGTTTCTTTTGTAAATTCTTTTTCCTTCTTAATTTAATGTTTTTCAGTGTGTGTTCTGATCTCTTGGTCAGTGTATTATGTGGTGAAAGTTTCCTGCTGGATATCTTTTAGTCATAGGTAGTTGATTTATTCAGCCTTTTTGCATTGAATAAATACTGTCTAATGCAAAAGCTAACCTATATTTTCCTTTAGAGTATTATTGTGTAGATGAATATCGCTTGGATTACTGATAATAGATGTTATAGGTAGTGTTCAGTATTAGAAGCCCTGTGAGCAGATGTCAGTAACCAAGCTTTTCCACTTATGTAGTATTCTGTCAAAAAGGTGTGATCTTTGGCTGTCTGTAGAACGAAATTGATTAGTAGGCATTGATGAACTTTAATATCTTGTGCTCTACTTTTTTCTATGCAAGGAATACAGTCGAAATAATGATAGAATAAAGGCAATGAGTATTTTATTCATTTTGTGTTCTCCGTCACTGTTTTCATTGTTAACAAAGATGCAGTAAGTATAAAGGATATTGATGTACCAATTTTTTTTAGAAATTTTCTCTTGTTCTTTTACTTCTTCTTGTACTGTACATTTCATTGTGCAGTTAGAAAAAAATGCGGTGACCTACACTGTACAGTACCTGTACTGTTTCCTTGTTTTACGATTAACTGTTGCTGTATTCTTTTTTCCAGTTTTGGCGAAGTTAAAGAATAGCGATTCAAGTAATGCGGAAGCATGATTGACCTTGACGCGACCAATCAGAATAACCAGTGTGTTTTACATACAAATGTCTTTTATTACTAGAAAAATACAGATAACAGTTGTTAACAGCCTAAAACTATTTACTAAGAAAATGCAGATATTAAAAATATAATACTCTAATTCTAACCCAAACCCTATTGATAGGCGTAGTTGTAACACTAATCTTAACCTTACTCGTAGCCACAACCCTAATGAACTAACAACTCCTCATCCAAACAGTACTTAAAAAGCTGATTGAAGTGAGGTTCGCACGTCGATTAACTCACAGCGTTCATAGCGGCATTATGATAATAATAGGTCGCATTATTCAATGAATAGGATGTGTTCAAGGTCATTATTGCGTCCACACTCCTGAGTCTCTATTCTTTAACTTGTTCCTGATCTCTTTTTACTTCACAGGATTGTTTACTGTAGTCACCGGGTTATAGGGAGGTTGTCACTTCCCTTCTATGTTCAAACCACTTATACGTTTCATAGCTACTTTCTTCTAACTAAAATGAGTAATAATCGTTTAACTTTTAAAAATGACATTTGTGTAATTCTCATTTGAAGTGTCACAAAGTTGCTTTCTTTTTATTTTTTATTATCGCAAAGTCTGCTCACTCTGTGCCTGACAACAACCTGGCAAGGATTTTATCTCGAAGCCCGCCAAACACTTCAATGAAGAAATTATCTTTGGAGATGCCTTCTCCTTCATTCACTGACATGGCGGATGGTGTTAATTTCAATACTGAAAATAATATTTATGTGAGTTTTAAAGGAAATATTTTTATTTTTATTCATTATACTGAATGGTATACAGGAACAGTTTGACATACTGTACTTTCCTAACATTCAGGGGGATTTCTTATGTATAGAATTTTAGTGACATAACTTTATAGATACATCAAATTAATGTTATCTATCGTGTATTTCGTATACCATTTAGGAATTTGAAATGAATTCACTTCTGCTTCATTGATTTAGAGCCAGAGTAGTTAGTAAAAAAGATCGTTTTTTTCGAAATCGTCTTACTTACTTAATTTTAATTTCATTACGAATATAGATAGTATTGTTGCTTAACTTTGTTTTGAAGCTAACTTTCTGTTAAGGCGTAACTGTATTCAGAAGCATTTCATTTATTCTTTTTAACTTCAATGAAAATTGTATAAGCTTTGTATTGTTTGCACTGATATATACAAAATATCCTCTTAGTCTATGTTGTCTAGTCATACAGCTAATCGTGAACTTTTCATTTACTCCATGAAATTGTCCACGGCTGTTAAAAGAGTATCGAAATTGTTAGCGAAATACTTGTTGTTTTCTGTATTGTAAGCTACACTTTTTTCGCCGACAATCATCTTTATGTATGTAAATATGTTTTAGGTTAGTTTTTGTTATAACAAGGTAAAATAAAAAGCAGCTACTTGGGTTTCGGATAAATTAGTTTCGACCTTGCGAAAGCAACTGATTGTATAAGGTTTTTGTTCTCATGATTTATACACCCCAACTTCTAATTCTGAGATTCTGCTTTATTTTTCTTTCTTTGTATACTTCAGATTACTGACGGTATAGAGACAGATATTTCTACAGAATTCCAACCTGAACAACAAGTGACTCAGCGTCGTCATCGAATTAGTGCTGACAATACTAATGAGGCTGAAAGCGCATTAATTAATAAAGATGACAGCGAAGATCTTGAAGTTGGAAAGTTTATGACAGAAGAAGAAATTATGCATGGTCATGTGTCATGGTCAGCGTATTGGCAATACCTTGTTTCTCGTGGGGTATTTGTAACTTTTGTCACGATTTTATCGTATGCTGGATTTTTAGCTGTTCAGGTAAGCTTCACACTTTGTTGTGAATTATTTTAGAAATTGATCTTTTGATTCTTTTGATTTTTTCTTTACTGGTAAGAGCTTGCTGTATGCTATTGAATGTCTTTTATCTAGTTTCCCTGAATTATCCTAATCGATTTCATATCCACTGTAATAACGACGAATTTATTTGAGCAGTAGATTTTGGCGTTTGTCGCTGACAATTTCAACCTTTAGTATAAGCTTTTTGCGGCATCCAATGCGAGTGGTGCAAGTCCACTACTGTTCCATTTTAAAATATCACTTTAAACTGTTCATTGTTTCTTCTTCCTTAAGGCCTTCTGTAACTATTGGCTGCAGTGGTTTGCAGACGACAAGGTATTAATTGAAGCTGAGAAAGCTTTTCAAAATTCATCAATAATCGATAACAACGATACGGCTCGTCGTATACTTGTGGAACAAATTAAAGAGAGGACATTATATTATATTATTGGTTATGCGTGGGCTGGATTGGGTCAAACTCTGATGATACTAGCATTTGGACTGTTCAACGCTTATTCTAGTCTTAGAGCTGCTAACGTAAGTGCACTTCATTTTCGGGGCATTTTTACATGCAGCATCTGTCATTATTATTTTTTGCTTCCCATTACGTGTACAAAAATGAATTATGTGCAATACTCGGGATCATTTTAATCCTTTGAATTCAAATAGCATTTTCATGTAGTACTGTGATATTTATTGGTAGACAGACATACTAAAGAGCATTGGATGTATACTCATAAGCTAAATTTCTATGGGATTTTTATATAAAATTCATGAATGTTCAGATATATTTAGGATTATTTAATTCATAGTTTACCCTTTTGTTTATTCTCTGATCGACTCTAATCATACTCTAACCACTTGAATGAAATGTGTGGGATTTATTTTTCAGGGTTTTGAAATAAAAGGGGAGCTGAAATACCAGTATTTACGAATTGTGAATACTTAAACGTTGATGCATATCTGGTGGAGTGACATGTTTTTTTTTAATAATTCCTTCGCGTTCCGAGTGCAGTATGGAGCATCAGGCTTTTGATTTTTCGTTAGCGGTAGTTTTGTTTCTATAGAATAGGGTCTACAGTCACACACACCTACTTTGGAAGAGCAAAAAGAGGGTTATTGTTCGCATTTCTGAGACTAGGGGGTTGATCGGCACTAAAGAGTGGTTATATTGTCGATATTGTGAAGGCTTTCAAAATCATCTGCATATCAATCAAAACCAGACTGTTAACTTTTGCTGACACAACATCCATACACTCGGTGGTCAGTCTCGCGTTATCTTTGCGATTCTATTTCCAAAACAAAGTTATACATTCTGAGGACATCGCTGAATCTTGTGCGTATTGATGTAGTTGCGTTATGTAAGCTGGATGGTGTAATTGCGGAAATTTTATTGTCATTCTAGGCAAAATCTTCAGCCCATACTTCAATTTGAAGTAAGCTTTTGGAAATATCCACAAATTTATCAGTCATCGCTCTCGGTAACCTTGATGAAGTCTAGTTGTTTTTAGATATGTTCTCACCATATAGTCCCCTTGTGATGGTATTGATTATTTTGTTGACCTGAAATTTACCCTTTTGTCTGTGTAAGTTCCATTTTATTAATTAATAAATCCTATCCATGTCAGTGTGTTTCGACTTGGAGAAGAAGTCAGCTTCCTGATCAACGAAAAATTCCTTACCAATACAAATCTAGGGTCTCCTCATTTATGCATAAATCTTTCACCTTTTACTAAAGATTTCTGTGATGAGGTACAATACAATTACTTTTATCTCATTTTTCCCAGCTCTGTCTTCAGCCAGTGCGATAGTGACACAGCGGTAGGATACTCGCCAGCCATGCAGGTGGTTCAGGGTTCGATCCTCGACCGACACACTCTTTTACCTCGCTAAACCAGTAGTGAGACTGGTAAGGAGGGGGGTTGGGCATGAGGCTAGCAACCCCATCCCGTAGGAATAAACGCTGCTACTGAAACTTCAAGCCTCTAGCTTGAATCCCAATGTTCCACTCTGAATGTAAAGGAATAAAAAAGATGTAAGTGGGCTATAGGGTGAGAAGATACCTAGAGACAACTAGTCTCCATCATGGTTACCAAGAGCGAAGACTGATAAATTTGTGGATATTTCTAAAAGCTCATTTCAAATTGAAGTATATGTTGATGTTTCCTAGAAATACAATGGAAGATCCTCAGTAAACCATCCGACTCAGAGAACACAAGCGTACTAATATAATACAATGTGAACTGGAAATTTCTCCCCTTCACATCTAAATCTTTCAAGTCTTCTGATCTGTTTCAAAATTTTTATTATTTTCATCTGAACGTTATCTGTCTTACTCCTATTGTTATTATGAAATATTTTATAGTTACGCAGCCTGTTTACCTAATGTACTCTCTCCTGTTTAAAGCTTATTCCTATGCACATTTTGGACTCCGCTTTTGTCTTTAAAAATGTTCTTTTAATTTTCCTGTAAATAGTCAATCTTCTCACAGTTAATCATTTTACCACTTACATATTTCCGGATTAGTCTTACTCGTATATCCTATCAATAACTCAATAATGTCAGCGTAATAAATATATGTTGAACTAGTTTTGTAATTTATATATTTTAGTATTTTTCACAATATAAGCAGTTTTGAAAAAAAAACCTCGTGAATAGTGGGCTCATATTCATATCAATAGATGAATTCATATTAACCTTCAACGCTGGTTTTTTCTGCTTCGTTGAGGTTTCTCAATAGGTATGAAGTTAATATTACAGATATATTGAGGAATTAATACGGTTGGTAAATACTAACCTTCAAAGATGATGATGATAATAATGACAAATACACTATACTTCTAATGATTTTGTGTAGTGATGATGTCACAGGAGTACTTTAGGAGTACTTTAGACGCTGCAGCCGTCTTACACAACAGTATTGTCTCATCATTAGACAAAGGTGCCAAATATGTCCGCTGCACGTTTCTTGACTTTACTTCTGCTTTCGACTCTGTACCTAGAAGTCTCTTGCTAAATAAGCTATCCACGACACAAACCGAGTCTTGGGTCACTAAGTGGTTGCATTCCTACTTTTCAAACAGAATGCAGTACACCGTATACAAAGGTCAATCCTCCTCTGCTGTGCTCACTGAATCTGGTGTCCCCCAAGGTGCTGTACTCTCCCCACTTCTCTTTTCATTCTTCCTTCATGACCTACCGTCTTCAAATGATATTAACTTTGTCAAATATGCTGATGACCTAACTGTATCTTTACCTGTCAAATGTCAAAATGACTGCTCTAAACTAAATGGCTTCTTATCAGAAATTAGCCAATGGTCCAAGGAAAACGGTCTAACCTTAAACCCCTCCAAATGCCAAACAGTTAATTTCACCTTTAGGCATAAATCTGACCTAAACAAACTGGTTAGCGCTCACGAGGTGTGCAACATAGATGGCACTGAAATAGAAACTAAGTCGGAAATTAAATACCTAGGCGTCACTCTATCTTCTGATCTTTCCTGGTCGTCTCATATCTTGACGATTTCCAAGAAAATATACCGTCTTACCTTCTACATCAAGAAGTTAAGACATTCTGGTGTAACCCAACCCTTACTACTACAATTTGTTAACTCCCGTATTCTGCCTATAATTCTCTATTGCTCCCCCTTAGTCTTTCCTGGGCTATTGAAGAAAGACTATACCTTATTACGTAGGATGTTAAAGGTTGTCAGCAGGGTAAGCAGTTTACCACTTAGCCAGCTTGTTAACATTCTGGTGGACAGGCACATGGACTCATGTGAAAAATGGGCGAAGTCCATTTTATCTGACTCACAACACCCTCTACACTCACAACTCTCCCCATGTATCTCTTCAGGGAAAACAAGAAGTCTATATAGGAAACTATATGCCCGCACTAGTAAGTACAAAAACTCATCCATACCCTACCTAGCCCGTGTTCTGTGTGATAAAGAATGCATCAGGCATGAAACCTTTAACTTATTAAATAGTCACTAGAACCAATGAATCTCGTCTTTCCAACTCACATCATTTATGGGTACAACGTTTTCTCTCTTTTCCATTCTCTCTACCTTTTTTGTCTTTATTTTTGTTAAGTGCTGTTTTGTTTTTCTCTTCCTTGCAAACTCTAGTTAAAACCTTCTTGTTGTTCTTTTACACTCTGTATATCTCGACCATTTTGCTATCGCTTACGCCAGTAAATATGCTAGTAGTATCTACTTTTGTAACACCTTCAAACATTTTAATTTTGGCTTTGCTACCGACATACTAATATGTTGTTGAGATAATCTTTAATCTATGTAGAACTTTATTTATTGTTAATGTAAAAACTGGATGCAATATTGTAGTAAAATGCTGAGAATTCCATTCTGTATCACAAGTACTGATTTGGAATAAAGCTTATATAATAATAATAAAAGCTTTACTGGGTTATTCCACCGAGATATAAGCGCTGTTTACGGAGTTCTTCAACTATTCAAGGAGGTATCCGTTATTTTTCTTAATCACCTTTTTAGCAGTTTTGATTTGTGTTCAGCATTTCGTATATTGTCCACAATACATTTCACTTAACAAACTTAAGGTGTTTTTTTGATGTAGTGCTCTTATTTGAGCTGGATGGTTTACCTGTGAAGCTTTCATTGCCTCACTAGACAACATCTTCAGCACATACTTCAATTTGAAATAAGCTTTTAAATTTCTCCACCAGTTTATTAGTCATCTCACTTTACCAATTTACCAATCCATACAAAGAAAATCTTATGCACAAAAAGTCAAACATCAGGTCAAGGAAACAATCAATACCAATATAATTAAACTATAGGGTGTAAAGACAGACGGGAGCGACTAATCACGTTCAAGGTCATCAGGAGAGATAACTAATAAACTCATGGAGAGATTTAAAAGCTCACTTCAAAGTGAAGTATGCACTGAAAGCTTCGCAAGTGCAGCATTCAGCTCAGAGAACACAACTACATGAAAATCATCCATCTGAGTTACAAATCTTCTCCATTATACTTTAAGATGTTTTTGAGTTTGAACTTGTAAACTTCATTGTTTTTATTTTCATTGATTTGTTTATTTGGAATCACATAGTCATATTTTATCACTGAAGCGTTTATTAACTTGTATAACGTGTCACTGAATTACTTTTCTTCTGTTGTTTGCTTTACAGTTATTGCATCAACGACTTTTGACAAGAGTTCTTCATGCACCTGCTAGCTTTTTTGATCATACACCTCTTGGTCGTATACTGAACAGATTCAGTAATGATGTGGATAATTTAGATCATACTATACCGAATGCATTTAGTGATACAATTGGATGTGCAGGTGACGTCATTATTGCACTGTTGATAGTCACAATAACTCTACGCCCATTGGGTGTTGGCTTGGCTGTCATTGCTCCACTGTTTGTATTTTGTATTACTGTCCTACTGTTTTATATGCCGTGTGTTAGGCAAACACGTCGATTGGATGCAGCTACACGATCTCCTTTGTTAACAAATTATAGTGAGACAGCAGCCTCGTCTTTAGGTGTAACCGTTGTTCGAGCCTTTAAACGTGATGAAGACTTTATCGCTAAATCAGATCGTCTTATTGATGCTAATGGTGTTCATGAGTTTATACGTTATGCTGCAAACAGGTGGTTGGATATAAATTTAAATGTGAGTTCCAATTCAATGACCAAGCCGTTAGAACTGTTTAAAAAAAAAATAAAATTGTAACATTATAAGGCAATCAAATCGTGTAGCAGAGTTTTTCCTTTCTTAGGTGTAAATGATTTTTGTGTGTATGACTCATTCGAATGCAACTTTTAGTTATTTACATTTTAAGCAAGAAGGATATGTAAGGTTTCCCTAGTTATATGATACATTCTATGCTGGAGATTATAATGTACTGTACTATGTTTTATTTGTTCACAGTCTCCTCTGCACATTTGATTCATCTGTGTTGTCTTTAGTTCCGCCAACCACAACTGCACCAATAGATCTATTCGGTATAAATTTTAAGATGTAACTTTCATCGTTGTAATGCCTGATGAGAAATCATCGAAAATACTTATTTACATGTGCATAAGCTGCCTTTTCTAGTGTGAACTTGGCAATTGAAATGTAGAACACAGATAACAAATCACTAACACAGGGCAATTAGAGAGGTCATCCACCAGACAGCACTGAATTCTTACTAGTTGATGTATAGTTGCGTTTCTGTTCTCTATGACAATTTATTGTGGGTGTTTATCTGATATGCATATATATATATATTATATAATTGAATGATCACAATAAACACATGATCGATCGGCTTGTGACTTGGATAGCTAAACTGTTCAGTCTGCCGTATGTTGTATATATATTGCTGTGTTTCACAACTATAAATCAGTGCTGTGTTGAACGTCCGATTTTAAATTTTATCTCATAGAATTCAACAAATTGCCTACTCGTTAAAATGGTTTGTAAGTAGGACTATGCTCGTAACATTCCACTTGTAGAATAGAAGACATTTTCCAATATGATAAAGTTTAGCACAGCATAAAACTTTGCAAAAATCGACCCTCTGGTATAGTGTAATCTCTTCACAGTCACGAATACTCTATAGTTTTAACCTTCTACTTCATTCATATTTAATATATGCATGTGCACTATGCGAATTAAATTGTTTTCTAGTAAATATTATTTTCATGGCTATTACAAAACATGGTTATTCTAGTTCTGTGTGGAAAGAGTTAGAGACAATGTCAGTAGTAGTGTCAGTACTCTCATTTTCCAGTATGTGTCAATATTGTGCTGCTGTACTATTTGTTTACAATATTTCATACAAAATAGTTGTTTAGTAAATCTGCAGAATTAATAAGTTTTCAATAATATTTTTTAATGTTTAAACAAAGTCAACTTCACTGCATCAGTGAGTGAAAATGTGCTGCTTAAACGACAGTATTTACCGTCCTTTCCGAAATATAACTTGTAATGTTGACAAATTTGAATGACCTGAACATAAAAGTCCAATTTGAAGGACTGGTCTGTCAGACAAATTTGAAATGTATGTTTTGACAAGTTTAATAGTGACTAACGTGTAGGTTGGTAGTAAGTTTTTACGAGAGAGAGAGGGAGAATAAAAATGCAATAATGTTGCTCACTATTTTTTGATTTTTTATTTCATTGAAATTACTCCAATGTTATGATTATATTAGATGTTCGGAGGCGATCGGCAGGAAGCCTTACACTTAGGTTTTGTGCTGGTTGGCACTCGTCAGCAAGGCGTATCTGCAACCTTGAAGGAATTCATGTCGCTCCTGAGATTCGAAACCGCGTCACCCAGTGTTGCAGTCAGAGACGTTACCACTGAGCTATTCAGGCTCACGATTGACATCCTGTAGGACTGTAGTGGATACTGTGATTGGACACCAGTAACTACTGTTATGCGTCTAGTCCTTTCTTTGGTTCAGACTGAATTCTATCAGTCAGGTTTGCAATTTGGCGACCATTCTAGGTAGGTCACCATCACGGTGCACACTGATTTGATGATATTAGATAGTTGGAGGCAATCAGCCGAACGCCTTGGACCTCGGTTTCGTGCTAGTTGCCCCCAACCATCTACTGATGAAGAGTCTCAAACTAGGGCGAAACACCTGTCCAGTACTCTCTTGTTTTTCAATGAATCTGTAACTGATGTCAGCTCATGATGAAATCCTCCAATCTTTTTTAAAAAGTGTTGGACAATGAATATGTTCAGTATTTTTGGTTTAAAGACCGCACGAGTTCAAATACTTGTCAATGACAGTGTATTTAGTTCATTTAGCGACTCATTAGTCGTTCTACCTATAACCCGCAAAGTTTTCTATGGTGTGAAACGCAGAGTAAGATGGAACGGTAAGGAATCCAAAGGATTCAATAATTTTCAGCAAAGATACTGAGTAGTGCCAGTGAGTCTTTGCATTTTTATGCAATATGCGAAACGAATGATTTTTCGCAAGTACTCAGTACACTAGGCAGCTGATAAAGAATTACAAAACGAACGCCATCGATTTCGTGGAACTGAAGCAGTGAATACAAGGCTTATTGATTTATGAAACTAAAATTAACACCTTCGTAAGCAATGGACTGGAGCACCTTCCAGAAAAATAAGTAAAGAACTAGTATAAGTCCCAGCCTTCAGCATACATCATGACAAGCGTATTTTACAAGTGTCATCGAGGAACAAAGTGGAATGGTGATGTGTAGTGCAAAAAATAAGCGTGGATCATATAGATTTGACCAAAGTAACTGAGTTAATATGATGGTCTTTTGAATGAATATAATGATAGACTAGTTACACTTTCACTGCAGCTCGAAATATCAACTGATAGGGCAAAACTACAACTGGAGCCTTCATATTTACAGTAAAGTCCTTGTTGTTTGCTTACTAGGAGAATGAAGTTTAGTGAGAGAATTTTTTAATCCATGAAATGCATTAATATTTTACCTATTTTCAATGTCATTCTCTCAAGTGCTAACACAATCAACTATTTCGTTTCCTTTAACTTCGTGCATAATGCTCAACTTTGCTAATGAATCATATGAATTCGGTATTATTATCATCACTATTTATCACTTCTATTTCTTTAAAATATTTTTATGCAGCTATCCTGTAATTTAATGGTATTCACGTGTGCTTTGATTCTGGTCGCCTATCGGGCGAACATATCTCCTGGAATCGGTGGTTTAATAATTGTCTATGCCCTACAAGTTATCGAGTCGTTAACATGGGTTATCAAACAGTTATCTCAGCTGGAGACCAGTTCAGTATCACTAGAAAGAATCTGTGAATACATACGAGTAAGTCTACTTTAAATTCATATATCTCTATGTGAGTAAGCAATTTTAAGTATTAGGCTTTAAAAAATAATACCCCTCAGAATGCATATTTTTCTCTCGGACTTTGTTTCTTAAAATTCATGCATAAAGCTCAATAGTGTTAAATTTAGAGTTATGACTGGATGATCACACTATTGACATATTTCATCTTTAGTCTGTGACTGAGTTCTATTATGATAAATAAGCTGAAGTGTTTTCGCTCTATGAGATCACCTTAAAAGCAGTTGCTTATTATTATTATTTTGTTTTTTTCAAGTGCTGTTGGCTGCTACACCCAGCTCTAATTATTAGCATTTTTTTCTCAAAATGCAATGAGTAAGCTTTAAGGCCTAAAATGAAATATAATTGTCAGTTTCTAATTTTCTTAATTATTACTTATGAAAAACTTTCAATATATATATATATATATATATATATATATCACATGCATGCTTTTAGAGACTTATTTATAACTTATAATTTAAGTCCGGAAAAAGAATGAGATTGAATTCTGATATGAACTGCAATTTAGCTTCTATAAATAAATTCAGTCTAAACAGCCTTATTGTTAGAGTTATCATTTTTATAATTACAGATTTTGAGTTGTTTTTTTTTTAAATGAACTGACTGACTGACTAACTGACTGAGTTTCAGCTTAGAACTTTGCACAGATGTCTAGCAGTTCAAGTTGTCACAATCCATGCAGCACTTAAAGGTATAGAAAAGAGAGAGCAAAGAAGAAATTCAAAACCAGAAATATGAGAAAGAAAGAATAGTAACATAACGGTTTAGTGGAGTGAGCGCATCTGCGCCATTGAGAACAATTTCAAGCCATATCACCTACAGTCTCCAGCCATCGGTTATTAACATCCTATGCACCCCAACCAGGGAGTCTATGCCTTTCTATGTGGCTCAAATCAGTTGTCAAAGACCTCTTGGACTAATGCAAAGTTTTGGTTTGACCCTTACTTACTCTTTCCTAATCTAATCCTATGCCAGCTAATAATACTTGTCGGGAAAGGCCGTGGTTCAGCATTCGGAGTATGTGTCCTAGCCACCTCAATACATATAGGAATATAAATTGGACACTGCGGAATAGTATAATCCCATCATTGAGTGAATTGTTTGCTAAAAGCATAGAGTAATGCAGCATTATTTACTGATGACATTTTGAACAAATTTTATTGCTCACAATAATATCAAGGCACTAATGTAACTTCCAAACTTCGTTTATATTAATTTCATTATTTCTTATCCCTTGATTTTATTGATAGTAATACTTTATGTATCCCCGCATCATTCATATTGCACGTGTTAAGTGTAGATTCGACATCTTCATCGTTAACTTCAAGGTGGAATATGCTTTTGAGATAACTGTACTCCGTGATAAGTTTGAGTGTGATTGGTTGTCTCCGATTTGTGTTCTTAGCTGTCCATGTGTATTTATAAAAGCGGATGAATGCCTCTGCTTCTTGGATGAGAAATTGAGAAGAACACCAGATTTGCCCAATATAGTGTTCATTTGAGTTGATTCAATCTGTCTTATAGACGATTCTGGTTTTCTCTTTTACTTCTGTGAAGTCTTTAGATGAAGTTAAGTGGCTATGTTGATTCATGTGAAAAACCAAATTTTTAAAGTTTTCAGTAATTTTTTCCAGCTGTGATTTTGAAAATACGTTTCGTACATAGAAGGATAATTTCAGTGAATGTCTTGTAGTTAGTTGGTTAGCTTGAGGATGGGGGGGATATCTAAATGAAATTTCTTGGATATCTAGTTTCTCGAAATATGACCAATAATTTTTGATTGGACACGAGTAACTAGAACGATGTGTGTCTAGTCCTTTCTTTGGTGCAGACATGGGTTCCTTCAAGGATGCAGAGATACGCCTTGTTGACGAGTGCCAACTAGCACGAAATCTACGTCCAAGGCTTTCTACTGATTGCCTTCAACTATCCAATACCATCAGATGACCAATAGGTTGTTGCTTTTCTATTCTCCTCAAGAAAAGGTGTCATAGGGATGTAGTTATGGATGAAATGGCTTTAACTTTGTTGCTATTTGCCAGTGTAAACGCTATGCAACAAGTTGGCTGAGAATCAATTTGAAGAGAATAGGATATATACAACTATCAGAGGATGATGTGAAGGGATCGTGTACGCAGGGGAGATGAGAGCTTAGGGGCAAGATGAAATGGAAATGTCATGTTGAAGCCCTACAGTTCACTCGAAACCCAAGGGAATAATACTAATAATGATAATAATAAGAGTGTGCTTCATTTGTTTAGTAGCAGGTGAAAGGTTTGTATAACCCTACGATATTTGTAATTTTGTCAAGACTCTTATTTCAGTACCTCTATGGTGGAAAAAATTGTCACTATGATGTCATTTGATTTTTATTTCTTTGGAACTCTTACTCAGTATCATAGTGTAATAATTAATTACGCTTTATTTATTTATTGTTTTAATGACTATTTTACACGGTATGTAGTATTCTAGACAAAACATCATCGTATGCTTACGTGCATAATTAATTGTTTCCTGTATCATTCAGACAATTGAATTATTCGCTTTTGTTGTAATTCATGGGGTATCATGTTATGTAATTGGACAAAGTTAGAATCTCGGTATTATGCATGTACCGAGAAATTGGTAACTGTCTAGAAATTTCTGTTCTAGATTTTAAATGTGACAATATATATATATATGTTTAGTAGAATTAGTGTAATTTAAGCTGCAGATGCTGTGGTCAAAAATTTTGTTTAGATTTTCTAATCATGCTGGAATTATTTTAAATAATTTTGCAATGAAAAGTTTATTCATAAGAAAATAAACAATTTTACGACTTGATCTCTTTTTGTGACCTTTCTTTTTGTCAGTTTTAATTACATTAATTGTTTACTTTGTCTTAGGTGGAACAAGAAGCTGATTGGGATCATGGAATCGATAGTCCTCCGCCTGTTGATTGGCCTAGACCTTGTTGTGAAATAGCCTTCAACAAAGCAACAGTTCAGTACAATTTACCCTCAAAAAATAAATTATTAAAAAATGAAGAATTATCGATTGAGCAGAGGAGTTCATCTGATGCTGGAAGATTAGTTACAGCACTGAAATCTCTTGATATCAAATTGAGTGGAAATCCTCAAGAGCGTAGAATAGGAATTGTTGGTCGAACTGGTGCAGGAAAATCGTCTTTAGCATCCAGTATATTTCGTTTGGTTGAGCCGACTATATTAGAAGAAGATAGATTAACATTACCAAAAACATCTAAATTGGGTCCGATTATTGTCGACGGAGTAGATTTATCACGTATTGGTCTACATGAACTTAGATCTCGATTTAGTATTTTACCGCAGGTATAAAACTACTCCTACTTTTAAGATTTTCATTTGTGTTTATTAAATATTTTCCATTTTCACATTCAAGTATACAAGCTGATAACATTTTTCTTTTCTTAATCAGTCTGTTAAACACTTTTGCTAACATCCTTTCTGACATGAATACATCATCTTTTATTTTACTAATTTTTTTATCCAAGGAACCAACAATCTTTTCTGGTAGCCTTCGATTCAACTTAGATCCGTTTAATGAATTACCTGATTCAGAATTATGGAGTGCATTGGAATCTGCTCATTTGGCCGATTGGGCTAAATCGACCAATTATGGCTTGGATTATGAATGCGGTGAAGGTGGATCAAATCTCTCTGTAGGTTCTAATTATTTTATATTTAATGGTTCAGTCATGTATAGTCATTGGTCACTAGGATTATCTTTCTGCTGTATTAATTGCTACCATGTACTCCAGTGTCGAGTATTACATTTTTGCATGTGTATCATTATTGTTTCTTCTTTATTTTCAGAGTGTTGGGCGCAAAGTTTCATATTTCGTTTTCAATAAATTATTTATCGTATATACATATATATATATATATATATATATTCATATAGTTGTATTAATATTCCTCATTCCTTGACTAATGTTTATCGATATTGTTATTTTAGAAGACATACATTTTCAATTTTTTAAATATGCGATTGCACTTATATTGTTTTTGTTGAGTGTTTTACTCACAAAGGTAGAAAACTGTATGTACCTCTGTGGAGTATGATGAATACAAAGATATTGATATTCAAAGGCACTGACTGATTAGGAGTCATTATTGGATGGCGTGTATCACAATTTGTCATCATGTCTGACTGTTTGCCTGCTTTCTTGACAAAAAAATTTCTATCACTTTATTGTTGATTTTATTATCTTTCTGTCTTGATTCCATGTGGTGTTTGTATTCTTGTGAAAAATGTTGGCACTTGAAATGCTAGAATTTTGTGTAAGGTTTCAGTTAACGATGGTGTGCAGTTGTTCACGCGATGCTTTTTTATTTCCAACTTGTATAGGCACTGTGTACTGAATGTTATAAATCATCACATCACCTAGGTCAGTGAGGGCATAGGGATTCTACTAAAATATATGTATGAAAATGTTTAGGACTCAAAGATTTGTATAGCTCTCGGTTAACTATGTGTGTGAGTGTGTGCATTTGTGCAAATGTCATTAGTCGCTTCGTCAATTTATACTTTGCTACATAACTTGCTACTTTACGATATGAATTTTTGCAATCGTAATGCCTTTTCTACGTATCTTGAGTATCTATAGTGGCAAAAGACAAGAGATATGGTAACGGGAATGTTTATTACGAATTTGGTATCTCTCTACACCGAAATTAAGTACACTTCATCTTCTAATCACCATTTGCACAGATCTTCCATGTTGTGCTACTTCTGTCCTTTATATTGCGTCTCTTTGTCTTCATTTTCACGTCTCCAATGTTTTCCTGCAGTGCTGAACCATTTACTTTCTTTGACGTCAAATCTGTTCCCCTGTTATTTAATATTAATTTATATTGGTATACGAGCTTACCTTGTAACCGGAAGGCCCTGGGTTCGAACCGTAGTTGGTGCGTACTGCCTCAAAAGCCTCAGTATGGTCGGGGGTGGGTGCCTTGCGCTGCGGGTTGGCCAGCCCTCCGTACACCTCTTGAAATGCTCCCATATGACCGGGCGTCTTACATAGCCTCTCCTGAGGAAGTCCTACTCACTGCCTTCACGTGGCGGAGGTGTTTTTTACCGAAGTGAGAGGGCAAAAGCGGATGCCCGGCGCTCTTCACCGGGTTGACTGTCCATTGGATGACAGTCTAGGGGAGATGGCTAAACCCTGATTCCAAACCTCCAACGACTGGCGTATGAAGCTCACTGGAGCTCACCGGCAGACGTATGGACAAAGGGCTTATTGGATGCCCTGGCCCCATTCAAAAAGGCGTATGAACCGAACTCCGGTCACCGGCTGCCAATGGATAGTGGACTCCCTACTCCACTCCTACTGCCTTGTAGGTCACACTTGGTTGTGTAAAGGCTAGAGCTGCACTCTCAAACAAAAGGCCGAGCGATGCTGGGGACATCACTCGTACCAAATTCCCATGAAACTTCATGAACTCTCTTACAAACAACTCTCACCATGCTACGGCGTTCCCGGTAAGCGACGCGCCCTGTGCTCACCCGGTGGCCAGTGTGAAAAGTAAGCCAGCTGGGAAATTAACACTTAGAAACCAACTATTTGTTGGCTGCTGGAATGTTAGGACGCTGTTGGATCCTGGTAGCCAGTCTATCACCATGCGTTCTTTATACGACTACAAGGTGGACATAGCGTGTCTATCTGAAGTGAGGTTACCCGATCATGGCTCCCGCCGAATAGCCGTACCTGGAACAGATTCTTCATTCTGGTTGCTTCATAGTGGACCCCAGAATAATTCGGGACAACATGGGGTAGCATTTGCTCTCAGTAACAAAGCCAATAATGCCCTAATATCATTCGAACCGGTCAACTCCAGAGTTGCAATCGCTAGGTTCAAGGGTTCCCCGCTCGACATTTCTGTTCTCGCTGTCTATGCCCCAACCCTCGACTCTGATGAAAGTATCAAAGACGAATTTTATGACAATCTTCAAGAGGCAATCAACAAAATCCCAAAGCGTGACGTTCTCATAGTAGCCGGCGATTGGAACGCCCGCACTGGCCCTTCAGACGACGCGACAAAACATATACTAGGCAAACACGGTCTCGATCAGCGCTGCCGTAATGGTGATAGACTTTTAGCTTTTTCTGATTACAATCGATTATATATCACCAACACTCGATTTCAACACCCTAGAAAACATCTCACCTGGTATTCGAACGACGGTCGCACTGCACATCAGATCGACTACATCCTAGTGCGCTCACGCTGGATCTCCTCGGTGGAAGACTGTCGATCCTATCGTGGCGCAGAGGCCGGAAATAAAGGGGGATCAGACCATACTCTAGTTCGGGCGAAATTCAAACTTCGTTTAACAACACGCCAGAAGGCGCGACCTCCGAAGCGTATCAATGTTGCCCCGCTTCAATGTTCGACAAAGCGACAAGCCTTGTCCAAACAAATCCAGGCCGAACTAAGCGCCGCAGATGAACCAACATCCACATCTTCTAATACACCTGAGACACGATGGAATCATTTCAAAGAAGTAGTCTCTAAAGCTTCAATGTCGCATTTGGGTACCACATCCAACAAGCAGAAAGACTGGATTTCAGAGCACACCATGCATCTATCCTCGCAAGCCAGAGACGCTCGCCTAGCAAAGTCTCCAGTTTATCGCTCCCTCAGGCGCAAAGCTACACAGTCTGCTAGGAATGACAGAAATCGCTATTGGTCTAATGTGGCGACTAACATGGAAGCAGCATCAAATGTAGGCGATTTCGGAAAACTTTATCGCCTCATACGCCTATCATCTGGCAAACGCCTTAACAGTCATGCTGTGTTACGCACAGCATCAGGAGAAATTATTTCGGACACCAATGGTAAGATGGAACGATGGGCCGAACATTTCAAGCAGCTACTCAATCGCAACGCTGGTCAACCGTCTCATCGACCGATACGACACTTACCAACACCCTACGTAGTTGACTGCGATCCACCCACTCCAACCGAAATAGCTAAAACAATTAACAGACTCAGAAACAAAAAAGCTCCGGGCGAAGATGGTCTACCTCCAGAAATATACAAGGCCTGCACTCCAGCGCTAATCGATTCGCTGCACTCGCTGTTCTGCTCAATTTGGGAGTCCGAAACCATTCCTTCCGATTGGAGCACCTCAGTTCTGCTACCGTTCCACAAAAAGGGAGACAGGTCAATATGCGAGAACTACCGAGGCATAAGTCTGATTGATATCGCTGCTAAGGTTTTTGTTTCCATTCTCCTGAACCGCTTCGCGGCCGAACGCCACGTGCGAACAAGGCCAAATCAAGCCGGATTTCGACCTGGAAGAGGTCGAAGAATTTTGGAACACAGGGACAAATTCCAACAGCCGACGGTTGCTTGCTTCATCGACTTCCGAGCGGCATTCGACTCAGTTGATCGAGGAGCACTCTGGTATCTAATGGAGCTCGACGGAGTTCCGACCAAGCTAATCAACCTGCTCAGGTCATACTACTCCAACACCAAAGCTCGAGTCCGAGTGAACGGTGAAGAGTCGCACTTTTGAGGTAACCAGCGGTGTCCGGCAAGGTTGTCCAGCATCCCCCATCCTGTTCAATTTCACAGTTGATTGGATTTTGCGGCACGCCCTAACCGAGCACCACGGCGTCCAACTTTCGCCCGATATTCACATAACCGACCTCGAATTCGCCGACGACGTCGTGTTATTAGCTGAAAACTTCCCCGATATGCAACAGGCGCTCGATCAGATAAACCACCTCGCGCCTACTATCGGTTTGGAAATTAACACTTCCAAAACCAAAATGTTTTCGAACACATCCACCAGCAATGATGAAATCTTATCCCTGAATGGAGCACCTATTGAAATTGTGCCATCCTTCAGATATCTGGGATCCATAATGCTCCCCAACGGTCAAGCGAAAAACGAAGTGAATGCGCGAATCTCCAACGCCCGGAATGCGTTTCTACAGCTGAGGAGCGTTCTATGGAGCAAGAGGGAAATCAGTCTCAGGACTAAAATTCGGGTCTACCAAGCCTCCATACGATCCGTTCTCCTGTATGGCTGTGAAACCTGGCCTCTTCGCGCGGAAGATTTACGCAGACTCGAGGTAGTAGACCATTGGTGCCTCAGGTACATTCTGCATGTTCGATGGTAGGACAATCTCACCAACGACGAAGTGCGTCGTCGTTGCTAAAACATCAACCAAATTCCAGTACTGGTCCAGAAACATGCATACAAGACCCAAGTGCGGTTATTCACCTAACCCCACCTGGCCAACAGGATGAATCTTCAAAATTCACCTTGAGGGTGTCAGGAGATGCTACAGCCAGTTCACGAGGATTAGCTGGTGTAGGGATAGCTTTGAGTACTAGGGCAGAAAAGACATAACTTCACTGGATCCCAGTAGATAGCCGAATGTGTGCTGTCCGTCTGAACGGATCAGTAAGAAGGAGAAAGGACTGCACTACTCGCCGATGCCTTTTCGTAATCTCCGCCTACGCCCCCACTGACTGCAGTTCGTATGAAACGAAGGATGAGTTCTACCAAAAGCTGTCTAGTTTGGTGCGAAAGGCTAAACGCTCAGATATAGTCGTTCTAGCTGGTGACTTTAATGCTCAAGTAGGGAAATTGTGTCAATCTGAGAAGGATGTCGGTGGCACCTATGGAGTTCCGTGCCAGCGA